TCTATCAAAGAGAGAAATTTTACTGATATCAATAATTTTAAAAATGAAAATATCTTTTTAAAGAAGTGAGCTGTTTATGTCTCAAAATCTTTTAGTGTTTTCTTATTAAGAAATACCTTATTGTTCCATGGAAATTCACTCTGGTTTGAGCAAGGCATTCGTACATGATAACTGTCCCATTTATCTACATACTGGTCTGGATGTGGTTTTGGTGGGTACTTAGTATTGTAGTTGTACTAAAACAAAGAAAAGTTTAATCCTCTAATTTCTTTTACAAAAATATTAATACTAGGGATGGTAACAGTTAACTTGTTAACCAACTAATCATTCAGAAAGATCGTAACTGGTCATGATTTTCATAACCCGTTTGTCAATTTTTTTGTGTAGTATATGTATTTTTTAAATGATATTATTTAAGAAACTCTTAGATAGGGTGTTTTAAACTGAAATGCTGCAATTGAAAAATTAAATTATTCACAATATGTCGCTGAGCACTGTCAAAGTCAATCCTGATAATTTTATACTCACAATAACCCTAAATATTAATAAAAACTAAGTAACCCCATCATAAAAAATTCTGCCTATTTTTTCAATTTCAATTTATTATTTCAATTGATGCATTAAAAACAAGTAATTTTCTTCTCAGCAATGTTTTACATGGAAATTGATCTCATTCATTACAAAACTTTTCCAGCACCACCACCATATACATCTTGGCTGTATTTTAAGAGGCCACCACCACCATATACGGCTTGGCTATATTTTAAGAGGCCACCACCACCATATACAGCTTGGCTGTATTTTAAGAGGCCACCACCACCATATACAGCTTGGCTGTATTTTAAGAGGCCACCACCACCATATACAGCTTGGCTGTATTTTAAGAGACTGGGACCAAACAATCTTTACACTTCCTCACTTTTTTTTTAACACCCAACAATTAAAAAGAACAGAGTCTTGAGTCAATAAATATGTAGAAGATTACTTCCCCTTCAGTGGTGATTTGACATTAAAGAGTGCAAAATTCCCACAAATTTCAAATTCTTAAAAAGTAAAGAATTCTGAATATCATTGATAATTTGTTTTTTTTTTTAACAAATTGTTTTATAGGAAAGTTCATAATAGGATTATAAAGAAGTCTCGTATGTTCAAACTCGGTCAGAAAAAAATATAACTGGTTACAAAAAATTATAGAATTGCCAATCCTAATTAATACAGATTTGGATGAATGACAACTAAGTAAAAAAGCACCACAAGCTCACTTACAGGGACTTTAAACAAGACTACGTGGTCTGCATGGGTTCTCAGTGCAGGCAGAGGATTCATGCAGTCAGGTTTTCTGTTCAAGCTGGCTAGCGACTTCCCCTAAAACAAACAAAATCTTTCCTTCACAATAAAAAGAGATTCTTATCAGAACTTTGCTTCATATGGACCAACAAGGTTACAACCTCACTGCAAGCAGAAACTGTGGGCTTGAGGGAAATTGTAGAGACCAGAAAACATGGTCAAAGAATCCATACTTAATCACTAAAGCATACATGTAGTCAGTTGAGCTCGTGTTACTGGATTAACAGACATGTGAAAGTTAGTCAATATACCAGGTCTCAACAGCTCTGTGATTAGAATGCTGGTACAGTACGTCCGAGGCCCTAGTTGAAACTTGATTTTTCACCATCTGTTACATTTGGTGCCAATCATAAAAAACCCACTTGTCCTTGGAATATGCTTTCCAGCATTTCCTTAACTTGTTGAATTGAGGACGAATATCACCTTTGATGGTGAATAAGTCACTGGGTTAACAGGTTTATGAAAGTCAGTCAATATATTGGGTCTCTGTAGCTCAGTGGTAAGAGCACTGGCATGGTATACCAGAGGTCCTGGGTTCAATACCCTGTTGAGGTGTGATTTTCACCACCTATTACACTAGATTGATTTTTATGTTCGAAACCTGGTAGGTCTCCTCCAATCACTCATGACCACATCGAAAAAGATGGATTAAATTATCTAATTGTAAGACTAACTGCAGAACTAGTAGTGGTCCACTATATGTGTAAGTATGACCCATATTATAGATATATGTTCACTACTATAAGTCACATGACTTACAATTGAATCTTTACCATTGTTAGTGATCACATTACCATGCACACCTGTGAACATGTTAATTACCAACAGCCAGAGCCTGGCAGTATGATAGGTCTGATAAATAACAATGTAAATTGTGCTCCTAAGTCGTACCTCAGCTAAATCAATGATCCATGAACAAGACAAAGTGTCACTGCAGCTTAAGAATTGAAAAAAATCTGTATATATATTCAAATGTATGTTCCTTGGATCTTAAAAAATGCACTACCATGTTAAAATTTATGGTTTAAAATCCAACAGTTTGTGGATATCTGATATGGAATTGGACACTGACCTTCCATAAACTACTGTCCCTTTTCTGACTCGGTTTGTGGTCAGGTATATCAGGATCTGTCTCATTTGGTTCTGAACTACAAAAGGTGCAAAAAAAAGTCCCATTTTTAGAAAAAAAAATAGTAAAAAAAGAAAAATGTGACATAGTTATAAAGAGCCTAAAATTTAGTATCATGTAAATTAGTATTGACTTAAAAATTCGACACAAAAAGTATAGCTTACACATTACATTTATACAGTATTCTTTAGCATACATATCTACATATTTACATTTCCAAATATTTTTTCTTAATATTCTTTGCAAATTAGAATGCTGTTCATTTTCTCATGAACTACCATGGATGAGCATGAATATCTCAATTGTTACGTCATAATGCCGTACTTGACGTCAAAACTATAGTGAAAACTGTTTTGCTTTAAAAATGACAGTTGAATGGTGAAATTTGTGGTAACTCATCAGAAAAATAATGTAAATATAAGAAATGAATTTAATTTTTGAAGATTCATGAGGTACATGAACTACAACGCTTCACGCCGGCATATTTATCATGAAGTGCTAATGGGCTTCATGAAATATGCCGGCGTGAAGCGTCGTAGTTCACGTCCTCATGAATCTTCAAAAATTAAATTCATTTCTTAAATGTCTACAATCTTTTATGGCATACATATTACCTGTGAACAGTATTCTATCAGTTATAACATACAGTTTAACTTACTCCTATACATATTACCTATATACACTATAGAACTATTCCATCAGTTATAACATACAGAATAACTTACTCACATACATATTACCTGTGTACAGTATTCTATCATTTATAACATACAGTATATTATCTAGTACAGTATTCTATCAGTTATAACATACAGCTTAACTTACTCAAACAGATCTGGGGAGTACTCCTGTGTAGGGTCTCCATCGCTGTAGTCACTGGTCTGGGAGTCTGACCGATTGGTGCCAGGTTTAACTGAGGTTCCTCCTAACACAGAGGTCCCGGCTATTGAGGTGCCTGCATCCAAGGTTCCAGCTTTTGATGTTGCCGCTATTGAGGTGCCTGCATCCAAGGTTCCAGCTTTTGATGCTGCCGTAACTGGTGTGCTTAGGGGGCCAACAGGAGTCTGGGCTTTCTTGATACTACTTAAATGATCTAAAAATACATTTATTTATGGCAAGGTATGATAATATGATGACAAAAATAAACACATGTATCAAGAGGGCACATTATATGTCCATCAGAAAATTGGGTCATCCTGAAGATATCGGATTATTGTTTATCAACTTGATAAACATGATTTCAAATGATTTAAATTTGTAAAATCACATATTTTAAAATGAGGTGATTGGATTCTTTTAGACTAACACATTCAAAAACTTGGTGTACCTAAAGTATTGCACAGACCAAAGCATCTGTATAGGCAACTTTGGTTTAGACACCACAAGAGATAAACTAAGTATAAATCACAGCTTAACCTTGACTTTTCTTATACACAGACAGTTAAAAAAGACAAAGGAATATTGTGATTCCAGTACACTCTCCCCAACAACTTTACTGTAGAGGGAATAATAAAGACATTTCCATTTTAAGTAATAGTGAAAGACAATCTTGATGGAAGTTGGGGTCCTTTATCATTACATATATTATCCTTAAAAGGCCAAGTTGAGTCAGTCGTGTGATTTCAAAGAGAAATATGAAGAATTTCAACAAAAGGCCAAAAGTACTAAGATTTTAATGGTCCAGTTCATTTCAGGTGGTACTTTGAAAAGTTTGAGTCAAGTGTGCAGAATCCATAAAAGCTGATATTTACACACAAGCATACATGTCTCCTTTAGTCATGCTAAAACTGGTTTGCTTAAATCTATTAATCATATTAGTATCACAAAGAAAGAACATATTCTCAATAAAAATAGTAACATGACTAAAAATAAGATAAAAAGATCTTAAATTTCTATTATACATAATTATGTATTATGAAACCTTCTCAATATTTAACCTGTGTCACTATTACTGAATCCAGTAGAACTTTTATCAGACAAGGTGGCCTTGTTTTTCCCAGACTCTGAGGTGACAGATCTGAAATTATAGTAATGTATATGTGAATTAACCAGAAGTCTCTGATGAGACTGTATCTCTACTGGTTTATACTTAACTAACAAAGGTAGGGTAAGGTAGCACTTAGACTTGAAACTATAGCAACAGCAATAAATAAAGTAATGAATCTTTAGTTTAGTCTCTTTCTAAGTCGAGTTTAATTGAAATTGGACAAAAATGTAGTAGGAGTAGCGTTTTGAAGGAATTTCATCAATATTTCTATTTTAGTAATCATGACAACACTGTTCATCAAAATCAAAAACCAATAAAGAGAATTATGTACTTAAGTGTAGTCTACTTGTGTACCAAGTTATACTGAAATTGAACTTGAACTATAGGAGAAATAGCAGGAAATAGTAGTAGAACAGAAATTTCTATTTTTAGTAACCATGGCAACATTGTTTATCAAAATCAAAACCAATAGACAGAATTATGTATCTTAATAGTGTAGTCTACTTATGAACCAAGTTATTTAATATTGGACCAAAACTTAAGGAGGAGTAGCAATATGAAAAAAATGTTTACAGACAGACATACAGATGACAGACACCTTACTTTTGCATAATTTCTTCAGGTCTCTCACTGGTAGAGCTAAAACAAGGGAAAAAAATTCCAAAAAACAATTTTAAAAAAATTTCTATCAAAATTCTGTTGATGGAATACTTACTGGGATGTACTGTGAGTTTGAGCAGGTGGCTTCTTATCCTCCATGTTTGTACCTGTCTCTTTTTTACCTTTAAATAAAAACCAACTCAAAAAATAAGCAACCTGCCCTAATAACCATCCAAACATTTTGTCATCTGGTGAAGTGAATACAAGAGTCTATTATTTATAGGAAACAGATGAAGTGTTAAAATTTTGTAAAAATTAACTTTCCAAATATAGCATCTATAATTATCTTAGCATTTACTTCCTTGAAGCAGACATGTGTGCATGATATTTAAACTTTGCCTGTATGTCAAAATAAAAAAAAAATGAAGTTGATGAGGCCAACAAGACACAATCCCCATAGGCTGGGGAAATAAACAAAAAACATGGAAGAACAAGGCATGGAAAATGCCCATAATTTAATTCAATTTTTAACTGAGTGTTTATTGCAATGTTTTTATCCTTATCGCCACATAAAATGTCCCAAACAAGACTTTTCTATGTAAAAATCATTCTACAGTAAAAAGGAAGATGATTAGCTGTTGTGGAAGGATTGGGCCCAAATGATTAAAATTCCTAATCAGTTTCCATCAGTACAACAAGCACTTTCACCACTAAGCAAAGGAACTAAGAAGTATTTGCATAGAAATGTTGTTTGTGATATGACTTAACTTAAAATTATTTTATAGTTTAACTAAACTTTGTTTCCATAAAAGATACAAATGGTTTGTTATAAAATTTAATTTTTAATGTATAGTGATTACTGTAGATTCCTAAATATACGCGAGGAATAAATTATCATGTAAATACGCGAGAAGCACCACTTGCGAAATAAAATTACTCACTTTTATTTTTATGGTGCTTTAATGTATGTAAAATCTCTAGATAAATCACCGATTCGCGAATTATTGTTCCTGCGATTTGACGCCCTTGGGTCATCTCACGATATTAAGTACTCGCGTAAAATAAGGAATTTACAGTAGTCAGGGCTCAACATTAATGTTTGTCCCATTGTCTATGACCAGTTTCTTTTGTGATCTGAAAAGTGAATCGCTCGACACACCTGTCCGATTGGACAGTGACTCTTTCCCCTTTATCAAATACTGTAAATATGATTTTTAATTTTTTTTTTTACATAATTCATTAATCACTGTCATTGATTTAAAATTGCAAAAATTGCAATCCTCAGGGTTCAGTTTCATTTCAGGGGATATTGTTAACTGGTAAGGGTGATCAAGACTATAGGTTACAGATAGTGTAACTGTATTTCACGTCATTATGTTTTTAATTTTATGATTTACAAATCTCTATCAGTTAATATTATCTATAACTACTTCACTTTTGAAAATAAAGTTCTACAAATTTATTTATATCTGTTCAGAGTTGGACAAGTTAGCAATGAATTCAGACAATTAATATTCGTTGACAACTTGTCAATTGGCCAAGTGGATATTTTAGTTAATGTTGAGCCCTGATAGTGGGTCCTCACTCCAGGATTTTGTTTTAATGAGTGAAAAGTCTACAGTGTCACTCATATTTAGAAGACTATGGAGCAATGACTCACTTATGTTGACATTTCGTGGTACAGTACATGAAAATGGCTATTTCCTTAGTGAAAACTGTTTCATTTTTCAAAGAATATTTTCAAGAAATTGCAAATATTTAAAATAGTAAATTCAATGTCTGTGAATTAAAAACCACTGTGTAATGTACCAGCACAGGAAATCGTGAAATTTTAAACATGTGAAATTAAAGACTTTTACAGTACTTGTACATGTACTTTCAATACTAAGAAAGTGTACTGTATGCTGTACATATTTTAAATTTACAATCATGCTCTCATTTCCCAAGAATTACTGATACAAAATTCGATTTACAAGTGATAAAAATTTTGAACCTTGATTCCCTTTCATTTATTCTGCAGAATTACCATGTATATTTCATATGGATTCAATATTTTCATGGACTTTGTGGGTACCCATTTCTCCAAGGTTTACAACCTCAATGAATGCTAAACGTGAGATATATGTCAATTTTTTTTTTTTTTTAATTTTTACTTGATCACATTTCATCAAGTAATACTGCAATTACTTCAGTGCTCTTCAGACCACACATCTATCATTTACTTTTGAAAGTGACAAAATCATCAAAATTGGCTGAAATTTTTTTAGTGGTTTTAATTGAAAAGGATTGGGAAAAAAGTAAAAATTTACAAAAAATGGAAAACAAATGTTGATCCGAAAATTTAACAGTTGAGAAAAAAATTGTAGAATTCACTGTTTGTAATGAAAGAGAAATGTAATGTACATCACAGTACATGTATTTGAGTTCATCTATATCTACTGAAAGATGGTAAAATTAAATAATGCTCTCATCTTTCAATCTAAATGATCATTCTAGGGTACCTTTTTCTTTTCTGCGGAAAAAATCTAAGATGGTTTTTCTTTTCTTCTGAGGTGGTTCACTCATATCAAACAGTTCTGTGAAATAAAAAAAATTATTACGCACCAATTCAACTAAGAGAATGATTTATCTTGATATTTTTAGTAAGAAGGAACTTTGTGTTGTACTTCCACACCTTGTTAGAAAAAAATAGTGTTGAACTAAAAAAAATTTAGAAATAAATTTATTCTGTTAGTAAAAGAAAGTACCACAAGGAGAGCTTTTATACAGTACTGTTATATAAAAAAAATGTTTCTACAATAAAACATCAAGTTTAGGGCCTTGATAGTCACTTGAGTTTCAACAGTATTTTCACATTTCTCTAAGACATAAATTTTTGAATGGTACATGTATAATGAAACAAGTTCCTCATCTTCTTTTGACACAATTTTTTTTACCCATGTAAAAGTTTCAAAATTTTCTTGTCACTGTAATTAATGATTCTCTGTTACTGATACTAAAAATATAACCCTAATAAAATTTTTGTTTTCCATCCAGTGATCCTGACCACAGGACCCTTGATCATTCCTGAAAAATGCATGGTCAAAATGTGTAAATATAGAGATCTCATGTGCAACTCTATAAACATTTTCAAAGAAGCTTTAAAATTGTTAACATCTTTATCTTGGGACAAAACCCTAAATCATTGTGTCATGAATTTTCTATTTCCAAAGGAAGGTACACAAGAGCTAGAACAACTGGGCTTCTTGCTTACTATAATCATACAAATTGTTTGCCTGTCAGATATCAGGTGCCTTGAGTAAAGGAGAAAATTAACTATAATTCATTCAAATATATATGACTAACAGTCCATGTGACCCTGGCACGTAAACGCTGGAACCAGAGAAGTTGAATTTCCACATTCTAGCACAGGGCTTTTCTCTCTGTATAATTATTCACCCAGTTTGCATGCTTCATGATCAAGAGAAGAGACTTCACTAATTTCGAAGATTTCAGCTTCATCCTCATTGACCTTAAGTGGCAAGAACCATAAAATCAATACATTTGCTTCAGATTTACACATTTGAATTTTCTAATTGTCAAGATTTTTTTTTATTTGAAGTCTGTATCTACTCCATTTAAGGGATCTAAAGTGATTTTAAATTTCAATGTTTTATCACTTTCAGTGACTTTGATATTGTGTACAAGACCATTTTCACCACGTGCTGTTTTTGCCCTTTCACACTTGAAAACAAATTTACCTAATCTCAGCGAGATTCGTAGGGACTAAAAATTTTGATCTGGTCAGCTGCTGGTAGGGACACCAGACCAAAATTTTTAGTCCCTAGGAATCTCTCTGAGATTAAAATTTACCCTGTTTTAAATTCACCCAAACACATATTAAATCATGAAAAAAAAACAAAAACTAATGGGTTCTGATGTGTGAGTATTAGAATTTACAACCTTTGAATCTGTGGAACAAACAGCATTCGCTCGCGTTAAGGATTCCAGCACAATTACCAAATTGGCCACCATAACAAAAATCACGTGATTTCGAGATATAGAACTTAATAAATTGCTTGATCATATAGCCGTACCCACCAAGAGAACTCGCAATTTACAGAGGCATCCTTAAAAAGAAGATGCACACTTGCTAGAGACTAGTTCGAACAGCTCTACTTTCATTTTAACACTTCCGGTTTAAGTCCTTTTCCGGTGCTCGTACAACCATTCAACATGGTGGGACTTAATACCTTATTTTAAATCCCGTTAAATCTATTGGATCTAATATTTATAAACATTTTAAGGAACAAGAAATAAAATTTTAAAGTGATAGTGATTATATTCCCTTTATATTTTAACGTTTAGATGCATATTTGGATGTAAAACACCATTGAGATGTTTGTTTACATCTGCATAATTTGAGGTTTTTATGTGCAATCCTGCCGATTCTCTCAGCAAAATATGAAAAGAGGCAATATTTTATATAGCTCACCAAATATATACATTATTACTTATATAATTTCTGTTATTCTCACTTAGGACATAAGAATTAAAAATAAGGACCGTGATAGAACAACGGAAAGGGGGGTGTCTCTGGCTAGGAACCAAATTTAGTTTTATTTTGTAAACATGCATTTAATATGTTGGTTTTCTTTTAATATTTCAGAGTGAAGGGGCGGCCACCATCCGAACTAGAAAGTTCATGACAAATCGTTTGTTGTGCAGAAAGCAAATGGTAAAATTATGTTCCTTATCATTTCCATAAATCCGTAAATTTTTATTGTCAGTAAATTTTTAGTAAATTTGTGCATGCAATACATTCACAAAATAAAATTCACATTTTATACAAAAATATAGGTATCAATAAGAAATTAAAGTCAAGCAAAGGAATTTTAAAAATGACGTGCTGAACAAATGTTCTATCTAATCAATCGCATGTACGCTGATTGAAATAGCAGTGTTTGGATAAACAAACAAGTGACGAAGCACAAAAAAAATATTTTTACTTACCATTAATTTCAATAAAATTCTGTGAATTTGCAAATATTAGACATGTTAGAAATGTAACAAAAATACTTGTATAGCATTTTGACTCAAATTCGCAAAAATTATTTGAGGTAAAAATTTCCAGATTTACAGTAAGGGCTGCCATGAGCAATTTCAGTAGAATTAATAAATTTATCAGAAAATTCATAAATTTCACTTATAAAGCAAACTAATGCTGCAATTGATCACTGAATAGAAGCCTACTTGTAGCTGGAGTAGGTAAACCTACATTTGGAGAGATGGAGTGTGTCTGGCACTTTTTGAGTGAATGATGGTTAAGCATAATTGTATTATTAATTTTGAATGTAGACCATGCATAGTACGAAATGGTACCAAGACTGTTCAGTAAACCATTGATAATTTCATTTTTCATGGTTTAATTTTTTTTTCAGATTGTTGATGTACTGCATCCAGGCAAGGCCACAATTCCTAAAACAGAAGTTAGAGAAAAACTTGCCAAGATGTACAAAACTACCCCAGATACCATCTTCTGCTTTGGATTCAGGACGAAGTTTGGTGGAGGCAAAACTTCAGGCTTTGGATTAATATACGACAGCTTAGATTATGCGAAGAAGTTTGAACCAAAGTACAGATTACAAAGAGTAATTATTTAAACCATTTCTCTATAATATGAAAAAGACAGTTGTATTAATTTTATTATTCTTTCAAGTTTGCTGAAAAGGAGAGATGAAACTGATGAATAAATCTTATAGTTCTTTGAGAATAAATATTGAAAGGCAGTTTGTGCTTCAAACAACTTTCTATCTATATTTACGCAATTTGGCATCCAGTTCAAGTCACAAATTCCATTTTAGATTTACAGGAAAATATAGGTCAAGTGAGCTTTTCTGATCACCCGTTGTCCGTCGTCCACCTGTAAACTTTTCACATTTTCCACTTCTCAAGAACCACTGGACCAATTTTAACCAAACTTGGTACAAAGCATCCTTGGGTGAAGGGGAGTTTAAGTTTTTAAAATGAAGGGCCAAATCCCCTTCAAAGGGGAGATAATCAAGAAAAGACAAAAATAGGGTGGGGTCATTAAAAAACTTCTTCTCAAGAACCACTGGGCCAGAAAAGCTGAAACTGATGTGGAAGCATCATGGGGTAGTGTAGATTCTAAATTATTCAAATCATGACCCCTGGGGGTAGGGAGGGGCCACAATAGGGAATCCAAGTTTTACATTGTAGGGGTGAAACGATACACCTCCTTCACGTTTCGATACGTATTGTATAATTTTGTCTCGGTTCGGTTATTTTCGATACGATACATTTTGATAGAAGGAAACAAATTCAACGTTGTTTTATGCTTTCTTTTTGTTAATCTAGTCACATATTTTACGAATTTTATTTGCAAATTGACTAGAAAAAATTGATTAAAATTATTTGACTGTCAAAAATTATTTTACAAAATATCAATCATCAAAAATTTACGTTTTCTATACTTATTTATACTGAGTAATGTGTTTTACCTTATGCCAAACCCGACTGAATAGCGATCCCGACCGAAAAATGAACCGAACTGAAAATTAGAGATTTTGCACCGTGTATCAAACCGAGAAAAAATACCGCGGTGAATCGATACCGCGGTGAACCGTTTCACTCCTATTACATTGAAATATGTAGTAAAAATCTTTAAAAATCTTCTCAAGAACCACTGGGCCAGAAAGGCTGAAACTTATGTGGAAGCATCCTTGGGTAGTGTAGATTCTAAATTGATCAAATCATGACCCTTGGGAGTAGGACAGGGCCACAATAGGGAATCCAAGTTTTACATTGAAATATGTAGTAAAAATCTTTAAATATCTTGTTCTCAAGAACCACTAGGCCAGAAAGGCTGAAACTTATGTGGAAGCATCCTGGGGTAGAGTAGATTCTAAATTGTTCAAATCATGACCCAGGGGGGTAGGGCGGGGCCACAATAGGGAATCCATGTTTTACATTGAAATATGTAGTAAAAATCTTTAAAAATCTTCTTCTCAAGAACCACTGGGTCAGAAAAGCTGAAACTTAGGTAGAAGCATTCTGGGGTAGTGTAGATTCTAAATTGTTTGAATCATGACCACCGGGTGCAGGGCTCGACATTAACGCTTGTCCGGTACCAGTGAAAAAAAAAAAGGACAAGTGAATATTGCTTGGCACTTGTCCGATTGGACAAGTGCATTTTATTATAAAGAAGTCTTCAAATAATAAAAAGAACGACTGTTGAAAGTTCATAGGAGTTACGAAGGTTAGATTCCGTTTGATTTTGCTATTTTCATTTTGTGAACATTTATGTTGCTGTCAGGATAGAAAGTCTAGATAAAATTTTGTTTTTATGTGCTTGTTGTATTTATAGATATAGATAACATCACTAATCAATCACATGTAATGGACTTTATTTTAGTTTTCAAGTTGACAGTAGTGTATCTTTATTGAACAATTTTCGGACAAGTGAAGTTGAAGTTTGGACAAGTAAATGTCTTGGTCACTTGTCCGAATGGACAAGTAGGTAAAAAAGTTAATGTCGAGCCCTGGGGGGTAGGGCAGGGCCACAATAGGGAATCCAAGTTTTTTACATTGAAATATGCAGAAAAAATCTTTAAAAATCTTCTTCTCAAGAACCACTAGGCCAGAAAGGCTGAAACTTATTTGGAAGCATCCTGGGGTATTGTAGATTCTAATTGTTCAAATCATGACCCCTTGGGATAGGGCGGGGCCACAATAAGTACTACAAGGGGGGATCAGGTGAAAAACAGCAAGGCCAAAGTTACTCAGGTGAGCGTTGTGGCCCATGGGCCTTTTGTTCATATTTTGGTAATGTGGAGACCAATCTGGGGGAAAATATTCCACCCTCATTTTCCCAAAATTTTGTGCTCGATTTTCATTTCAGGTAGCCATTTCCTATGAATGTTGACATGGACACTTTGTCCATCAAAATGAAAATATTTTAAAAAGTCACTTCCTGTAATATCAAGCTGTTCAAAGATGGACTGTAAAAATATCCTGCTGTTTCTCTTTTTATAGCACGGCTTAGTTGAAATAAAGAAATCAGGCAGAAAACAAAGGAAAGAAAGGAAAAACAGGCAAAAGAAAGTCCGTGGTACAAAGAAGGCTAAAGTGGGAACAGGAAAGAAGGTAAGGTCTTGTTGACATCAGGTCTTCATTATTGGGTATTGTGATCTCATCCAGGGATTTATAGTGGTCTAAACACCAGAAATGTCACACAGAGATTAAAACTGGACACAATTTATGTCCAAGAAAAATCTTGTCCTGAAAACTATTCAGTAAATGTCTGTGACTGCAGAATAATCATTTTAAATTTCAGACCTATATATATGTATCAGTTCTTAAAACCAACATATGAAAGTGATCATGAATACGAAATAATACAGTTCACATGATGACACGATGTTTGAGATAATCATTATTGCAGAGTGAAGTGATCCGCAACTTCCTTGCTAAGGTGTATTATTTACTAGTAACTAGATAATGAGGAGTGATTCAGTCCTGATATAATAATATACAGTAAAAATCATTTGGTACAAACATGGATATATAGCAATTTACAGATATAGCAAAGTTTTTTGGAATTCCTGGTGAAATTCTTAACAATTACTTGTAAAATTCTACAGATATAACAAACTTTGATATAGCAAATTTAGCAAACTGATTTTGTGTCCCCTTGAGGTTAAAAATAAAATAATTTACATCTTATATAACAAATTTTCAAATATCTCAATTTATTTTTTAATGAAATGAAGTTATTTTGTAACTACATGTATTTATATAAAAAATTCAGTTCATCTGAAAACTTCTGACCTCCAAGGTAACTTTTGTATTTAATACTTCCCTGAATTATACATTTGGTAGTCATAAATGTACTTCAAGGTAAAAAAACTTTAATTGGGAATTTGCTATATACATGCATACTTTAACAAATTCATTGAACGGATATAATATAAATAAATTACAGATATAGCAAAGTTTGTAGGTCATTATTATTTTGTGAAAGACAAATGGTGCTAAAACTAATGAACATAAAGTAATGGTCATATAGAACAAATAAAAGCCTCATTAAGAGAACAATTCCTAGTGAAACATTTGAGTAATAAATATGTGCCTCACATCATGAACAGATGAATTGTAAAGTGTATTTGAGATGGTATTTACAATGTTGTTTACAGAAGTAAACCATGGTTCCACAGTACATGTAAAGGTTTGTGTGTGTGCCTGTGTGTTCCTGTTTTCTCCTTTACTACCTCTTTCTTCCCTCTCTAGTAATAGTTATAATGTATATTACTGGTATTAAAGCTAGGTCTTATTCTAGCTGCTTATTCAGCAGCTACATGTAGGTCAGGGAAGGAGAGGTTTTAAGAAGTCACATGTCTGGCACTCTCAATCTAAGTAAAATTACAAAAAAGTCACTTATTTTCATGGGCTCAAATTTTTGTGGTTTAAGGAAGAGAGATTGATTTGTTGGGATTTGATTTTGCAGTTGAAGATGTGAACATAATGCACGTGTTTGAAATTTTAGCATTTTATGCAAGAAATAAATTTGCAGAGTTGTTGAAATTTTTAATTTGGTCTGACAGAGTCAAAGGTTCTGTCAGACCAGAGGAAGTTTTGTCAAACCAGATATGCCCTTTACTATGTTCAGCAGTATTAGATCTCACAATTTTCTTCTCTTAGGATAGAGAGTCTTTAATTAGAAATACTAATAACATGATTTAATTATCTCTCTGCTTTAACATATTTGATCTACCACCTTCACCACATGGCCATCTCTGCTGTTTTTGTGACCTTCAGCTGGGCACCCGGGGTCCCCCATCCAGATGTTTTAAGAATTTGCATCACGCCAGATTTTTTTCAAATGGTCGTTTAAACTGACGTTTTCTTGTAAGTTATTGGTCCAGACAATTTTTTAACGAAATAGTGGACCTTGCTGACTGGACCGATGGTTTTCAACAACTCTGAAATTGAGGGTTTCTTCTTATCATAAAAACTGTGAAAATTTGCCCTCCATGAAAATATTTGACTTCACAGTAGATCTTTTCATGTGCTTACATAAATCACTGAACTAGGGTATGTAGCAATCTTCATGAGTGAGTTTGAATTTTAATAAAATGACATGGAGGTTGCTGAAAATTGTTCAAAAGTCTTCAAAAAATGATTTTAAAAAATGATCAGATTTTAAGCATTATATGAGCATTTATTCTATATATCTCACTTATTTTCCTGTAGTAGATTGATGGTTTATAATAGCAATCCTTTAAACTTACTAATAAACAGTACAAGGAACATTTTCCAAGAGTGCACCCTTCCCAAAGTGTGAAATTTCAATCTCTGCAGCACCAGTCAGTGTGTTCTTTATTCAATATACTGTGTGCACCAAAGTACATTTCTTTTCTTTTTAACCCCCCCCCCCAAAAAAAAAAAAAAATTGCATACATCTTTTAAATTAATGCCTTTTTTTAATATTTAACTGATGACTAACAGAGTGAGTGCAGCCAAGTTAAAATAATCATGATGATAATTATAATAAATGAGTGACTTTTACAAAGAAAGATATACTGTATTCTCCCTATACTCCCCCACCCCCTAAAGCGCCCCTGGAGTATTTTCTACTTGTCTGAGAATAAGCCCCCTTTTTATCAAGATATGGTCTCATCAAAGTTTTCCAAATCCACCAGACCATGCAAAATTGATTGAAAGTCGATGAAATTGACCATGCCATTGATCTGGGTGAGCAGAGCAAGTGATTGACACAATCTTGAATAATTTGTTTTACCCACAAAACTTTTTATGGATAGGGTTAGCACATAAACTTGAATCAGCTTTTGACACAATCAGTTCATTTAATTTCAACATGACTACCAAATAACTGCCCTCTTCTTGCAATTTTCTACTTGCTTTGGGCCCTTAATAGGGAGAATACGGTTAATGAAGAATTGTTTCGGAGTAACATTTCGTTTACTTTTTCAGTGTACATATTTTATAAAGTTTTTGACATCGAAAAGAAAAACTGATACATTTTTGAGTAACTACATGTTTCTCTTTTGGAGAAATGATTAAAAATTTGAGCTAGAGCTTCTTGATAGATCAATATGAAATTGGATTCTGACTTCTAGGAATGCTTCATTCGAGAGTTCAGTTTGTTATGTAGTTTTCATAAGGAGTGTTGTGTGAGATCTTTTCTAGCTTAATGAAGACTTTAATAAATATCAATAGTGGCCAACTTTTACTAAATTTCTCAATTTCCTCCATTTTAATACAGTGTGATTTTGCAAGTAAATTGTAAACTTTATTGCTTGATTTGTAATGTTAAAGAACCATCTGCATATTTATTCTTTGTGATGATAAACTGGCTAAGTAATGCTATAGAAATTTCCAAGCATTGTTGTCTTATTAAATTCTATATTATTTTGTATTTTCAGTAGTGAGCTGGTGGATGCAAGAAGCTGGACATTTGTTGTTATTTGTAAATAAACTTTGTCCAGGACTGGCCTTTGTTTATTTCTTGTACATTCAGAATCCTCAATATCTTGTATTAGCTGTGTTAGAATGGCTCATCCAAAAGTAACTAACATACAAGAGGAACAAGGAGTGATTATAGATTGGAGTTCTTTCAAGGTTCCTTCCTTCTCCTTATAACAGGTGGTAACTGCTTATGTAGTGAATATTTATCTTCCTGTTAATTATTGTAGCATACATTTTTCCATGTGAGAATAATTTATGCTATGTAGTTGCAGATTTTCCATCAAAATTTGTCACAGCATAAAGTACATTAAAGTACGTTAAATATATACAATGGGAATCCCAAGAAATTTGCATAATTTATACTTGGAGATTGAACAGAAATTGTGATTCTGTGGCATTATGACCTGTGGAAAAAATGTATGTTTACAGTAATATTAATCCTGCTTTGGTAGGTGTGTTAAATGACTTAAAATGATTTCAAACCTGTGAAAATGTCACAGGTCAAACGTATAAAAGTTCAATTTCTTATGAAGCAGATAAGACTTTTAGGAGTATACAAAAGCAGTTGGGCATCCACTTACAGGTCAAACAGGAGATTGATGTTTTATCAAGAATTATTTTGGACAAAAGAACAAGATGTGTTTTGCAAAAACTCTGATACCCCAATAAGGTAGCTCATGGCCAAGGTTTAAGTCTTTCAAATTCAAGTCAAACTCCAAGGTCAAGGTCAAAAATGTTGATACACAAAGACAGGTTTCATCACAAGGAATATACATGTTAAATATGAAAGCTCTAGCAATATCCATTCAGAAATTTTGGCCAAGGTTAAATTTTTTCGAAAGAGGGTTATACTCCAAGGTCAAAATGTAAAAAATCTCGGTACTCAAAGGAATTTCTTGTCACAGGGAAAGCATTTGTGAAATATGAAAGTCTTAGCACCAACTGTTCAAAAGCAATGGCCAGGGTTAAGAGTTTTTCTCAAAAGTAGGTCATACTCCAAGCTAAAGGTCATGAGGTCAGAAGCATTGGTGCTTAAGGAAAGGTCTTGTCACAAGAAATACATCTGTGAAATATGAAAGACCTAGTACCAAGTGTTCAAAAGAAATACCCAAAGTTTTAAAGTTTTTCAAAAGTAGGCCAAAGTCAGTGTCAAAAAGTCAAAATTTATTACAGGGTAGGTCTTGACAAAAGGAATACACATAAGAAATATGAAAGCCCTAGCACCAACCATTCAGAAGTTATGACCAAGGCTACAGTTTTTCAAAATTAGGTCAAAACTCCAAGGTTAAAAGGTAAAATATGTCAGTACCCAAGGGAAAGTGTTCTCACATGCAAGTAATACACTTGAAATGGGAAAGCCCTAACACTTACCGTTTAAAAGTTAGGGTCAAGGTTAAAGTTGGATAAAATTTTGCAAAAAGTAGGTCAAATGTCAAGGTCAAGAGGTCAGATATGTTGGTACCCAAAGAAAGGTCTTGTCACAACAAAAAGTTAAAAGCAAAAGTTATGAATTGAACCAAGGTCAATTGGGCAAGTTCAAGGTCCTAGTAATATCTTGCAATACTAAGAGTTTTATCAGAACTTGGTTTGAATCAAAGCAATTATGGATGCATGTCCATGAATCGAGAATCATTGGAAGCTCATACTTGATAAGAGGATGGCTTATGACTGAGGATTTCAATTCATGGTCTCTTGCATGAATATATGTCAGGGCATCTATTCACAAAAGAAAGAAAGATAAATCATAAAGGTATTTCGCATAAGTTTCAGCTTTTCTGGCCCAGTTGTTCTTGAGAAGATTTTTTAAGATTTTTCTTATATATTTCAACGTATAACTTGGATTCCCTATTGTGGCCTCGCCCTACCCCCGGGGGTCATGATTTTAACAATTTAGAATCTACACTATCCCAGAATGCTTCAACATAAGTTTCAGCTTTTTTGGCCCAGTGGTTCTCGAGAAGAAGATTTTTTAATGACTCCACCCTATTTTTGTCTTTTCTTGATTGTCTTCCCTTGTAAGGGGACTTGGCCCTTTATTTTAACAATTTAAATTCCCCTTCATCCAAGGATACTTTGTACCAAGTTTGGTTAAAATTGGCCCAGTTGTTCTTGAGAAGAAGTTGAAAATGTGAAAAGTTTACAGACGGACGGATGGACGGACAGCTAGATGGACGGACGGACGACGGGTGATCAGAAAAACTCACTTGAGCTTTCAGCTCAGGTGAGCTAAAAAGTTTATACAAGAAGTGCTAACTAGAGTGGGGGGTGGGGGGGTGTAATGTTTAAACAACTTGATACAAGTTTTCAGATAACTACAAAAAAGAAAAACTGGTACTAAATTTTGTTTTGAATAAGGTACAGCTGCTAATGACACAACAATTATTTTTCGACATATCCCATTTATTGTGACATCCATCACCTGCAGACATCTTCCGCATCATCAAGTGACATAGATCCAGGGTATCAAGATCAGCACATGAAAAATTTGTGGCCGACTTGATTCTTTGCATCAATATATTATCTTGTACTTGATCATGTGATCTAGTCTAAGCCAATCAGATAACTTGGAATGATAGAGAAAAATAATGAATTACATTACAGACTGACTGTTCACGGAAGCTCAGTCGGTAGAGCGCTCGCTCCGTGATCGGGAGGGCGTGAGTTCAGATCTCGACTGCGACTGACCTAAGTTGATAAAAAATGGGTAGCAACTGTTCCTTCGCCATGCGTTCAGCACTTTGAAGTGAAAGTTGCAGGTCCTTGAGACCTTAAAAACCGAGGCCCCTTGTCACAGCAGGCGTTGGCACGATAAAGATCCCTCACTGCTCAATGGCCGTAAGTGCCGAGTAAAGGTCAAAATTTGAAGCCCTTCATCGGTATCTGGTGACGTCACTCTATATATGAGTGAAAAATTCTCGAATGGGACATAAAACAATATACAATCAATCAATCATTACAGATTGATATGGCTATAGATCCATTTCTGCCCTTTCAGCCAAACACAAAACAATTACCAGTTTACATCATTTTATTGATAAAATTTTAAAATAAATACATTGACTTCCTATTCACATTGATACAATGTTAGAGTTTGTATTGCACACAAGGAATTAAAAACATTTAAGATCCACACATAGTCTATCAATCCAAGAAAAATATACTGTTAAAATTTGATGCACATAGTCTTTTAACTTCCTCTGAAAAATAAAATAAACCAACGAAAAATAAGCAGCCCAAATTATAATCAGTAAGAGTGAACACTGAATACTGTTTGGTTCTCACCATTTATTTCTATGAGGTTGGCATTCTTCTGATTAATGACCACAAAGAACTCCCTTTGGTCGGATTTCTTCCCCACCACCCAGTTGTCTGTAGAAGTCTTCACTATAATCTCACCGTCCTCTGGGCTACTACAATAAATATGTTATTAATGAACATGTTTAGAATAATACATGCATCAAATACTTAGCTGCTGTAGAAGATAACAAAAGCCTGAAGACTTTCATTGTATCCCTGTTAGCCAAACATGTTCTCTGATTTCTTGAGTTTTTATCAAACAAGAGGCCCATGGGCCACATCGCTCACCTAAGCACATTGGCTAGGAAAAAGCAAAAATCAGTCAAGTATTGAAAAGCTTACATGGGGGGGGGGGGGGGGGGGAAGACTTGAATTTTACACTACCTGAGGATGTTTCCATATCAATATAACAAAGTTTTTAAAGATTTTTCAAAAGATTTTTTTCCTAAATATTCATCTGTAAAAGTTTGATCCCCCTTTGTGGCCCTTCCCTGACCCCTGGAGTCATTATTTGAACAAACTTGAATCTACACTACCTGAGGATTCTTCCATATCAATATGACTAAACATGGCTTTTCTGTTCCTGAGAAGATTTTTTCCTATATATTCCTATGTAAAACTTTGATCCCCCATTGCGGCCCCACCCTACCCCCGGAGGTCATCATTTCAACAAATTTGAATTTACACTACCTGAGAATCTCCCCTTGAATGAGGATGTGGCCCTTCATTTGAAAAAAACTTGAATCCCCTTCACTCAAGGATGATTTTTGGCAAGTTTGGTTGAAATTGGCCCAGTGGTTCAGGATAAGAAGTCCAAAATGTGAAATTTTCAGACAGACGGACATACAGACAGATGGACTACAGACAAAATGTGACCAGTATTCACAAGTAAGGAACATGAAATCATGATTTTACTGTGATTGGTTCTAAATTACATGAACAGTAAGCATACTGAAACAAGCATGGCCCTGTAAATAATTTTCCCATTAAAGCTTGCAGTCAGCCTACAACTTCATATTCAAAATATTCTATCCTAATTTATGTGCATGTACACCTGAAATTCCACTGGTAGGAAAAGTCACCTAGAACAGGTCATTATGTATCATTTATCGATTTCAAAGTAACTCCTAGATCAACAAACTCATGGTGGTATAAAACATTTTACTGTGGTTTCATTAATATTCAAGGGCATCAATTTTCTAGGATTAAATGAAATTCACAGTTACAAGGATATGTAAATTCAAATTTTAAATTTGAATTGGATTCAAATTTCTTATTTCAGTGAAAATTTGAATTTGTGGACAACAATGGAATTCACGAAAACTAGTGCCCCACAAATATTAATGAAACCACAGTATCTGATTATGATCAAAAGATGATAAGCTAAACTAGTCAGCTACAACAGAAAGTTAAATACATTTAACCAATCATCAAAGGTCAAGTCCAAAATCAAACCAATATCGCAGCATATGAAAACATTTCATCCTGGTAATTTTTAATATACAAGTATGTACAAAATCATCCTCAAATGAAATAAAATTACATAAGTAATCAAATTTAAGTCTTGTTCAATGTTAACTCCAATGGCTATGTTTGAAACACTTTGATTTCCAGAGAAGGACATACTCAACCGAGATAAAAATTTACCAATTTCAAGGTCAATGATCAAGGTCATCTTCAATAGTTACTAGTCAGGTGCTAAATTCTAAGATTATTCTCTGCATAGCTAATTCAAAACTTAACTACTGTAAAACTAAAGACCAACAAAATAGATCAAACAGACAGACAGAAAGCCAATGTGTAGACAAGTTTTGTTTATGGATCCTGTCCCCAAATATGATGTCCCTTGTCATTAATTGTCTTGAAGTAGAAAATACCTGGACATGTCGGAGCTGATATCTGTCAGTAGTTTCAGTGTCTCTGGAGGAATACTGACACTGCCCGTCTTCCTCATGTCTGCGTGAACCGTAGTCTTCTGAGCCAAGTTCATGTGGTTGAAGTAGATAAATCGATACGCTGAATCAGCCCTATCAAAAAATGAAGGAGATAAAGGTGCCTGAAGTAAATCAAGTAAACTATCAAATAAGCCCTCTTAAGAAAGACTGGAAGAAAGGAAATTTAACAACATCAATTGGTACGTGAAATGTCTCAATAATTGAGCAGCACTATAGATTTTTTTAAGGGATTTTAAATGGGTCTCACCCTGAATTTGCTCTCTTAGAAAACTGCTCCCCAATGTCTGAAGCCAGCTGTGACAGCCGTGAACCAAGGAAACTGTCCAATTTATGACAAAGATCAAAACTGACTTTAGTGGAGCCTGGAAAAAAATTATTGATATCAATAGCATACTTTTCAGGATGTGCTGTAGATGATTTTCAGAGGTACCACTAGTAAGCAGTCTTGTTAAAATCCACTCACCCTGAAGGAACATACAGACACTGGCATTATGAGCCCTATATACCAGGAGATAACATTCTTCATTGGGAGACTCTGTGTTGATGTACACTCTAGGAATTTTACCCAAATTTTTCTCATCCTGTATATCAGGTGGTCCAGTTACAAACCTACATGATTCAAAAGTAGCTGTGTAAGAGCAAGCCATGTCCAGCAATTTATGATCTGTGAACTATAAGAAAACAAGACGATCAGATGTGCTTACTTCCCATAATGCACATCTCCCATGGCTGAGGAGTTCCTAGAGGGGGAAGCTGAAGTTGTTGATTGGAGTTCTTGGTCTTGGTAGGACGGAAAAAGACTACTGATCAGGTATTTATAGATAATTCTCATGTCTTCCTGCTCTAACCCACTCCTACAAAGAAAGCCCCTGCATGTATCACACACATATATAGCTCTACATTAGTGTGGTTAGTTGGTACAAGCAATACAATCTTGAAAATTTCTTTAAGTTGAGCAAAATGTGGGAGTAATAAATCAGCATATAAGTCTGTAACACAAACATACATATACCTTGAACTTCTAAAGAAATATATAATATGTTTACAATACAAATTTTAATCCTTTGATCCCAACCTACCATACTAGTTGGTCATTATACAGGAATGCTGTGTATTTAATACAGGTAAAGGAAGCCTCTAAGAGGTTGATGAAACACTGAACATGAAGATAAGTATTCTTGTCCAGTGGCATAAAGTGGATCCCAGAAAAAATGTCAAGGATGTCACTGTGTGGCAGTCGCAGGGTCTGCAAGTACTGAAAGAAAAATTCCAATTATACAGTAAAACTTTCAAGCTTACAGGGCATTGTACATGATAAGCTAACTGTTTATCAATCAAAGTATATTGAAGCTTTATTTTTTTCTGTAAACATTTAAAGATGAAATAAATAAATCTCATGGCTAGTAAATATATGCTTACTCTAACATAGAAATGTTCCAGTCTTTGCTGCAAAACTTTGACATTATTTCCTGTTCTGTCTAATATGTAGGCAAATGTACCATTAAATAGCTGTAACAATAAAGATATTTATATAATGTTCTCTATATAAATCTTACAATTTGTTATTCTTCTTCTTAAACAATGATATTGTGAAAATTAACCTGAAATTTTGGTCTGACATATCAAACAGCGGTAGAGATTGTAGAATTAAAATATTCTAGATACAAAATCTGGATTTATAAGAGTCATTTTTGTCGATTAATGATTAATTAACCCTAATAGAGAAAGAATAAGTTCTGATTTGAAGTTTTCAGTAGGTACAATGTTTATCACAGTAAAATTATTATATGTACAGTTCTCTCCTGTTTTATTGGTATTCAAGCACAAGTCCATAATTATTATACAGTAGTACAGATTGCATCTGACCTTTGATAATACTGTTTAGCTTAACTCTACCCTGAATCACTCCAAGCCTGCTACAGGCTAACCTTATAAAAGTTTATAAATGTGTTATATATCTCTCTCTACAATTACATATAAAACCTTATATTATATAGTTGATATGGTTGATTGCTATTAGATAAATTCTGATTACCAATTTACCGCAATGCTCAGAGGCCTGTTGAAGAAAAGCTATAGTTACCTGGAACATTCTATAGGCTTGTTGTAGGATAGCTTCATAAACAGGGTCCTGAACATCTTCCTCGTGATACTCATACACAGGCTGACCATCCTTTGTTTTCTCAGTGAAGGGTACACTTACAGTCTGTGGAATTGTAAGATTAATTTTTAAATACAGTCAAACCTCTTTATCTCCCAGAAAAAATTTGACATACCCGAAGATTCGAGATATCGAAGGTAAAATGCTTTAAGAATAAGCAGTTGGGACTTCCAAATCACTTTGACATATCCATGGTATTTGAGATATCAGTGTTTGAGATACCGAAGTTCAATTGTAATTCATCAAAACATCAGTTGAAAAATAAGTTCGAACATCCCTTCAAAAGTACAGTTAAACTTTGGTATCTTGAACATCTATATCTCAAATACCATGGATATCTCATTGTCCAATCAAATTTCTTAAGTAAATTTCTTTACAGCAATCTGTTCCAACTTGGATAGAACTGAAGAACTAACCATGATCATCCAGAAGTCTTTTTCTGGTTCTAGGAAAAGCTGCCTTCGTTTGGTTGTATGGAGACTTTGACATGGTTTATCAGAAAATGTTCTGTTAAAAAAATACAAAAAGGAAAAAATTCTCAGAGTTGCAACTTTTGACCTAAGAATAAATTTAAAATAAATAATCCAACTTTCAAAGAAAATTACGACTGTATAACTTACTCTGCAAATCTTACTATTGCCTCACATAGACCTATGTGTTTTATCTGACTGTCTATATCTGTGTCTTTTGGATGAAAGAACACTATCTTCTTGTGCTCCTAAATAATAAAAATTAATAGCATCAGAGTTTGAACATTCATTTCATATGCAACTTTGCAGCTATGATAAGGTTGTCCGAAGCTTTAAAATACATTTAAAACACACCATTTCATTTCAAGCTAGGTTTTATTTCAATTTGTAAACTAGATATGTAAGTACAGCCAGTTTGCAAAAAGAGTTTTATTAGGTATGTAAAAATGCATTTTTGTGAAGTCACATGACTGTTGATCATGTGATGCACAATTTTATTTTTTGGTGTTTTCCCTTTATTTCAAAGTAAAGGGTTAGAGATCGATTCTAAACAGGCTTTGGGTTGAGGATTATGACAAATTTCTGTGGACCTTGCAACAAATACATTTTGATTTTTTTTATTTCAAAGTGGCATTTTCCAATTGAAGCGGTCAATTTGGTCGGTAGCCGGTTCTTCGGGAACACACTGATTTTTTCCTAAAGGTTGCACAAAAATCATATTGGCACAAGTGACAAACATAACTGTTGTGTCCTTTTTGCTACATATATCAATTAATCTTATTGCAATCCTCAGGGAAGTCTGAATTTTACTTGTATGGTAAATATTTCATGAAAATTTCAACTTTCACCCACATCTGAGGGTATTTTCCCCTCTTCGTCACAATTTACACAAAAAATGATATAAACATACAATTCCCTAGCAAATTTCAATTGGAGAACATACCCCTTTTAAAGATTCATACTTTTATCCTAATTAATGACTTTAACCAGTCAATTCTATACACAATTCATAAATTCTTACTCTTATCTAAACATGTGCATAAGAGGGAACATTTAACATGTTTAACATTCTAGATTTTATTATTATTTAAATATGCTGCATATCAGACAAGAGAAAGAAATAACTGTATTTTAATTCCAAATATTCACCATCATAACAGCACATTTATAATAAGCTTATGACCAGGGATGGGGTAATCGTAATCGAGTAATCGTAATCGATTGTAATGATTACTTTTTTTCAAGTAATCGACAGTAATCTGTAATCGAAGAGATTTTCGATTACTTGTAATCGTAATTTAATCGATTACAGCTAAAATTTTCAATGTAATTATAATTACTTTTTCGATTACTTTCGATTATTTTATACATAAATGGATGTTATTTTGGAGAATTATTTCCAGTCAGTCACACATAAATATCAAATATAAACCACCTAGTGTAATGTTTGTATTTCCTAACTTTTATTATCATAAGTTTAATAATGTTCTCAATAAAGTTTGCATTACAGACCTTCTGGTCTAGTATTAAATAATTCAGAAGTGTATTTCAACCATTTATTAATAAAATATACAGATTTTCGTGTGCATTTTGCATTTGACCCACTGTCCTCTTGCTGCATGTCCTTTTTAATGTTTCAGATGTTGAAAAACTTTGTCTTGTAATAGAAAATTGTAAATAGCAAAAACAGATTTAAGTGCTATATTATATATAAATAATTTGGTAAATAAACTACATTGTACTTGAAAAAGAAGAAGATGGAAAGACTTATTCATATCTGAAAATGTTTAAACAAATTCAAACTTGTGTTTTAGTAACTTTAAAATTTGCAAAATCATTCTCATGTTTTCATTCAAAATTGTAAGGTTTCTTTTGTATCAGTGAGGGGTTATAAGTGTCTGTAAGAGAGGGAGTGAGTGTCACTGTGTTTGCTTATCTTCGCTAATTAATTGACTGAGACATCAATGATTTGCAGATAATGAGGTGTAAACTGTGAACTACCTAGTGTTTAACTTTCATTCCATGGAAGACAAACAATATCATTAAAACAATTAATAGCTCTCAAAACACTTATTTCAATACAGAATGAGATTGTGGTATTAGTTTGATTATTAAAAGACCCATTTAATTTATATGTTTATTACTAAGAGTTCTAATTTACTTGTTGTTTTTTTTTTAAAGACACGTACAGGAATGTTTAATGTGTACTGTCAACATACGGGCAGCCAAAATACTTCTAATGAAGTAATTCACAATACAGTATTAAATAATTTTTGCAAAAAGTCAATAAATATGGAGGTTCAGATCCAAGGTTGAAAGGATTCATAATTAATTCCTTGGCATATTTTATTGTAGGAGTCATGTCTCCACTTTCCATGGTAGAGAATCCCTCATTTGGTCATTTCAATTCAATTCACTTTATTGACAATTACCATGTCAGGATACAGTCATGAACAATAATAACATAAAACAAATTAACAGGATTAATACACACATACAGTGAGAATTAATACACACATTTAGTGAGAATGTTAGCCAGAATAAAACCTTAAAAGAATCTGCTCTGAAACTGCAGGAACACATTCAAACTTCAGTGGATAACATCAACATTTACCATTTAAATATTGCTTTGATATCTGAAGGGATAAAAACTTGGAGGTAATCGATTATTAATCGATTACATCTTACAAAGTAATCGATTACAATCAATTACAGGACTAAAATGAGTGTAATCGATTAATAATCGATTACACAAAATTCCTCTAAGTAATCGATTATTAATCGATTACATTTTTCAGTAATCATGCCCATCCCTGCTTATGACATTAATTAATCAAGACAAATGAATTTATCATTAACGTAAAAATGTTCTACATGCAACATGAAAGGATTGTTAAAGTTGATATCTACAATCGGAGTAATTTTCTTTATGAAATTCATTGGATGAAACCTTGTCACTGCATGGTAGAATACAACGTAGGAACTATATGCATTTTCAACACTCTAGGAACACTAATTAAAAATGTATATTTTTGGCTCAATTTAATTAAAAACAATTTCCCTATTATCATAAAAAAAAATTGTAGAATTAAAATAAATTTGTCATTTTTTTCCCTCGTAATATTCATTTGCATTTTTTAACTTTCCATGTCATAATGGCTCTTATGTCTTTTAAGCAAACCAGTTCTAAATTCATAATAAAGATCAACAAAATTAAGGATTATGAAGAGAGAAGATTAGAGAATGTAAATATTAGCATTGAATTCTTATTTTTGGATGACATCTAAAAATAAGAATTCAGTGCTTAAATAATTTTGGCATAATGATGCAGTGCCATGATGTCATATGCTATTATGACATCATATCTAGGTAGTTTAGGGAAGTTAATACAATTTGTGCACTGAAATATTTTACAGATATTCTTGATCTCGCAAGAAACAATAGTCAGGTAATCATTTTGAGAGAAGAGTTTTCCAAAAATAATAATCTTTTAATTTTTAAGGATAGCTAAGAAAATTAGACCTCTCCTTCCCTGGGTCCATAAGTGGGGTTGAAGACACAAAAGTTGACCAAAGATATGCCACCCTTGGTTCCCATTCCTATGGAACTTGTGGCTACATCACTTTAAGGTGTACGTATAAATTCCTCTATGTTTTGGTTCCTTGATGCAGGTTCATCATCATGATTTTATGAGAGTTATTAATTTCATAGCATGTTATATAATTCTCCAATAAACCAGTATGAAAGAAACCTGAAAAAAAAACAAACAAACTGAGAATACATGTCATTGTACATACCGGGTATATACAAGTTGGTGATTCATGTTAGAGAATATTTTCTATGTATTGAGAAAACAAATGTCTTTAAATGCACAAAAAATATTCTATGAGAAGTATATTTTAATAAATAATTGTAACTGAACCACACACACTTGAAGTCATAATTTTTCTTGTCACATTTAGTGAAACAAACAAAGGTTAAAAGTCAAGGTTAATGTTCATATTGAAGAAGGTATAACACATCTATCAAGGTATTAATAAATGGAAAATACTGACATTCAGCTTGCCAAACAGCAAAGAAGAACATAACAAACATGTTAATTTTAAATTCTGAGACATGCTTCTGTTTGCTTCTGACGTCAGTACAAAATTTTTAGTCTCGACAAATCTCCCTGAGATTAGGAGTACTCCAAACAAAAATAATTTTGATAATTGCCCTGTATTCTTGAAGTCACTTTGAAAAACAAACTAAGAAGGTATTTCTTACAAATCGACAGCTGTATGCCTGCAATATTGCAAAGATATTCTTTTTTCCTGTATTCCTAACATACTCTGGTAGCTTTAGGGGTAGAATTTCCAGTACTATACAAACATTCAGAATGTAGTTTTGCATGCACTAATATATACATTTTTTTTTTGTTTTTTTTAAACATGATCTGTATCCTGTTTGACATAATTTAATGTCATACTTTGTTACTGTTTACATAATATATATCATACAAGGAGCAGATAGATATCAGAAAAGGACAACTAAGATCTCATTTAGTGTATAAAAAAAAAGAATAAACATACTGGCTTTTGCATATAACACGTTTTTTCTCGGCCCAACACTAAACTTGAACTCTGGTCCACATAAACCGGAAGTGATAATTCTTACTTTCGGTTTCATGAAAAGTAACTTGTACTACGAAGTATTCGTACTACGGAAGCGTATCAGGGCCGCAGCAGTATCTTTTTTTAATTTGTTTAAACAACTTATCAATTTGTTAAAACAAATTAGTAATTTGTTATAACAAATTAGTAATTTGTTATAACAAATTAGTAATTTGTTATAACAAATTAATAATTTGATATAACAAATTAGTAATTTGTTTTAACAGATTAATAATTTGTTATAAAAAATTATCAATTTGATATAACAAATTATCAATTTGTTATAACAAATTAATAATTTGATATAAAGATTAGTAATTTGTTTTAACAAATTAATTATTTGATATAACAAATTATTAATTTGATATAACAGATTAGTAACTTGTTATAACAAATTACTAATTTGTTATAACAAATTATTAATTTGTTATAACAGATTAGTAATTTGTTATAACAAATTAGTAATTTGTTTTAACAAAGTACTATTTTTGATAAAGTGAAGGTGTATAGTGATCTATGGAAGCCAGTTCAGATCAGAAATCTTATCATAAGTTAGATTTTTTAAAACAAAAAAAAATTAAGCTCTGCAGCTACAGTTTTTGGCTAATATGTTAAACTGGATTTACATCTTTTTAGCACTTAGAGTTTTCACTGTCAAACATTATTGTTATAAAGATACAATGTATCAAATTCTTTGGTTCCTAATTGCTTATTCTTAGGAGCTCTAATTGAATTTTGTCCTCCCCCCCCCCTCGATTCATTATATACATGCACCAAATGATGATCTACTTTACGTACTGCTTTTCAATTTTTAAATGTACCATTAATTTTATGCATGTATGTACTTAGACAAATGGAGAGAGTATTATAGGCATTTATGCCTACTGTTCAATCCAGTTTATGTATAATGAATAAAATATATTTTAAAATAAACCACCGTTCCTAATGCAAAAAACCTGAATCTGCTCCTCTGGTGAACCTCCTTGGCCCCAATTTACGCTGGGGGCAATAAAGGCAACATTGACAAAAATGAATTTGTAGATAAATTATCACAGAAAAAATGATAAACACTCTGTAATAACCTTCTCTGAAAACGAAAATAAACAGTATTCTTGAGTGGGTAGTACTTGCTAAAATTTGGAATCAGATACCTTGTGTTATTTTGTAATTTTTATAATCAAAGTACGTGCCTTTTAGAAAAAGCCGTTAAAGTCCAACTAAAGCCTTCATAACTTATTATTGGCTGAAAACTTTGACAGTTATTTCTTCAAATACATTTGTAATTTGTATCCTGGTTGCCTCATATGGGACTACTCATATATTTTACAAGAAATCGTTAAGCAATATAATTTGTTATGACAATACACACAAAATATTACACGTGTAAAGAAGAAAAAATTAGGTCATTTCCCCTTTTGACCCCTTTGTTGACTTTGGAAAAAAAAGTGTTAATTTGAATGGACGACGTTGTAATCATATTTAGTTGTCCAGAACTTCGAATTTTTCTCAGTATGAAGGATCCAACATTCTGTATTTCCTGTACATAATCTCTGGGATGCAGCTATTCTTTCATGCAGCTTTTCTTTTAATTGTCTACCAGAGACATTTATTCCAAGAAACATACTCAAAAAAAGAACCCCAAAAAAGCAACAACAACAAAACAAAACAAAATCAAATTAAAAAAAAAAAACTTCAATTTCGGTAAGAATAAAACCAAAAATAAAGTGCTTTAATCTAAGTTGCTAATTGATCTAAATCCATATTAATATATTGATCAAAAGCTCTCCAAAGCTTATGCTTTACGTTTACATAAAACCGAATTAAATAAGATTTCTGATCTGATCTGGCTTCCGTAGATCTGTATACACCTTCATATTTTGTCAAAAATAGTAATTTGTTAAATCAAATTACTAATTTGTTATAACAAATTACTAATTTGTTATATCAAATTGATAATTTGTTATATCAAATTATTAATTTGTTATAACAAATTACTAATCTGTTATAACAAATTAGTAATCTGTTATAAAAATTAGTAAATTGTTTTAACAAATTGATAATTTGTTATAACAAATTGATAATTTGTTATAACAAATTGATAAATTGTTAAAACAAATTAATAAAAGATACTGCTGCGGCCCTAATACGCTTCCGTACCCCTTTTTTTTTTCAAACGGAATTACGAAAAGTTATCCAACCAATTTTTTTTTTTGGATATTTCAAAAAACTTTAATATGAATTTATTATCATATATGCTTTTTTATGCCCCGCCATGAATATGGCCGGGGCATATAGTGTTTGTCATGTCCGTCTTCAATCCTTCCGTCCTTCTGTCCTTCCGTCACACTTTGCGTTTAGCTCTGTTCAAAGCTCAGTTTCAAAGAAACTATCCAAGATATTTTTATCAAACTTCATATGCTAATAGATATTGATGAGAGCTTTGCAACTGCATCAACATTTTTTTTACCTTGACCTTTCCTTTGACCTTGACCTCCCTTTTCTTAAATTAGTGTTTAGCTCAGTTTTAAAGATACCATTCAAGATAGTGTAATCAAACGTCATATGTTGATACATACTGATGTAAGCTATTCAACTGCATCAACATTTTTTGACCTTGACCTTTCTTTTGACCTTGACCTCACTTTTCTTAAATTAGTGTTTAGCTCAGTTTTAATGAAAGCATTCAAGATATTTTTAACAAACTTCATATGCTGATACATACTGATGAGAGCTATTCAACTGCATCAATATTTTTTACCTTGACCTTTCCTTTGACCTTGACCTCCCTTTTCTTAAATTAGTGTTTAGCTCAGTTTTAAAGATACCATTCAAGATAGTGTAATCAAACGTCATATGTTGATACATACTGATGTAAGCTATTCAACTGCATCAACATTTTTTGACCTTGACCTTTCTTTTGACCTTGACCTCACTTTTCTTAAATTAGTGTTTAGCTCAGTTTTAATGAAAGCATTCAAGATATTTTTAACAAACTTCATATGCTGATACATACTGATGAGAGCTATTCAACTGCATCAATATTTTTTACCTTGACCTTTCCTTTGACCTTGACCTCACTTTTCTTAAATAAGTTTTTAGCCCAGTTTTAAAGATACTATTCAAGATAGTGTTATCAAACTTCATATGCTGATACATACTGATGAGAGCTATTCAACTGCATCAACATTTTTTTTTATCTTGACCTTTCCTTTGACCTTGACCTCACTTTTCTCAATTTGTGTTAAAATAGTTGCATTACTAAAATATCCTCGGCGGGGCATTCATATCCTATGGACATATTTCTAGTTTTAATTGTTTGTATACAGAGACAAAGAACTATATGCGGTAAAAGCCATATTTCTGCCCTCATAAAAGGCAAATTTTGAAAATCTCTAGAAATGTACATATATTGTTTGAAAATGACAAATTCTGGAAGCAGATTAACATCAAGACTTGTTTCTATGACGTCACAAACTATTTGAATTTTCCGTGATCAATTAAATTGTGTTTCAGGAAACGCTATGCACATGCCATATGGGATAGTACAGACTTTCCTCTCAAATGTCATAATTAAAATACTAAGCATTCTGTATATTGGCATTATGAACTATTTTGATAAGTAGGTCAAAGGTTAGGTCGAAATGTCACGACATCAGTTACCATAGCATTTCACAAAAACAATAGTGCCAGGCAATTACACATGACCAAAATATCAAATCCATATCGCTGATAGTTCTCAAGATATAAGTTGTGACAGATGATGGATAGACAGACAGATGCCAGCGCTAGGTAAAGTGTGTGTGTGTGTGTGGGGGGGGGGGGGCTCTGAAGGTGACACAAAAAGTTATTAATATCTGAAAAACATCAATGATATAGATGTATGCCTACCTCTTTGATTATAAACATGCACCTATTAATGATTTTGTATTTCTATTTGTGGTGCCTGCAGAGCAGAGCAACACTTAAGGATCACTTTACATGGTATCTGTTTGTCTAGATGTCTGTCTGTCTGTCTGTCAATATCTTAAAGAGAACTGTCTAGAGGTATGGATAATATTTTGCAAATATAAATATATTGCTTAGCCCTTTGGCTTTTGTAAAATACCTGGTATCATGGTTACCAACCTTGTGACCCTTGAACTTGACCTTTGACCTACTTTTCAAAATAGTTCAATATGCCAATATATAGCATATTTTTGACAACTAAGAGGTAAGTCATCTATGCTATTTAGCAAGTGCACTGTTTGCCATGAAACATAAAAAAAATTCCAGCTTTACAGTCCATTTGACCTTGACCTGTGACTTACTTTGCAAAACAAAACAATGCCCCACAGTTGATTAAACTTGTGTCTTTTGAATTTTGAGAGGCAGGGTTTTGATAATTAGCATTTATATTGCATGTTTATGAGCTCATGACACTGTATTTTAAAACTGTATGGTATATAGTTACCACACATTCAGAAATTTATAGTACTGTGAAAACACATCTGGGTTGATATACCAAAAAGATTGTTGTAGACTGACAATTGCAGTATAGTTAACTAAAGTAAACTATATGTATAATTAACTGTAGTTTACTATAGTTTTTTTTGTTAGATTAACATAGACTGAAATCTCTTTTAGAGGAAGAAATTGGATTAAACACACATTAATTAACTAAAAATCAAATTCATTATTCATTTTAGGTTTCAAGATTTGACAATCGTATTTCTATTTGATTGTCGGATTTTATATGATAAATCTTATTCTATCTACAGGTCTTATTACCTGTGGATGTTTTTTATTTCTTTTCAGGCAAATGCCTAACTTAGTAGCATATCAATAACTCACCAACTTTAAATTTATATAATCTTTAATGATGCTACAAAGCAGGCGACATATGCATTCCTTGGAACACTCTACTTTTGTCACAGTTATACCTTTTGATGATTTTAAATATTTCCAACCACCATCATACTAGGGTTATAATGATAGGCAAATTAATTGCATCACATCAAGACTTTTCTACTTGCATCATGATATCAGATATTTAAGTGAAGTCCTAGATTTAGACCTAGATATACGCTTTGAACTCCAGTTGATGCAGTGAGGTTTTTTTTTTCAGTGTCAATGCCTGTCATTACATGTATACATGGTTTTGGTTTTTAAGGTCTCATTCAGAAGACCATTGACTCCTGCTTGTTAATCAATTCCAAGAGATTGCTAATGGAACAGTCACCACCTGTACACATATACTTCTAGTTTCTAATGAATGATTTTACATTGATACACTTCGTCCACATGGCGCAGTGGTTAGAGGGACGTGGGGACCGGTCCTTCGGATGAGACCGTATAAACCGGGGTCCAGTGTCGCAGTAGGTGCTGGCACGAAAAAGATTCCTCACTGCTCAATGGCCCTGAGTGCTGAGTATAGGTCAAAATTTGCAGCCCTCCACCAGCAAGTGGTGGTGTCTCCATATGAGTGAAAGATTATCGAGAGGGACGTTAAACCACAAACAAACATTGATACACACACTGTGGCTTAGTAAGGACAACATCCACCACATGTGCTAAAGATAATTATAATGTATTAGAGTAAGTTAACTCTTGTCATTTCTGATCAAATTAAAATATATAAGATATCAAATATATATATATATATATATATATATATATATATATATATATATATATATATATATATATATATATATATATATATATATAGTGTTACACAGCAGAGAGAAGTTACACGTAAATCTTGAAAATCCTCTAAATTGATAGCAGTCAATGTTTTGTTGCTTTTATGAAACAATATGAAATATCAGAATGCAATGCTGAACCTTTACATCTCTCTTTCCATCAACTCTTTTCATCTCCATTTATAGTGCTACAATAGTGCTACACATACATAGGGATCAACATATTGCTCCCACATTACACCAAGCCTTTAAAATAGTTCATATACTTAAGATGACCTTGAGCTACGGTGACAGGTCGGTCAGTAAAAGCCAAGGTCATAGGGTTCAAAGTGTACATTCCTGTCAGGAACATTACTTTGTAATGCTGGGATTATAACACAATATCTTGATCCTTGATGTAGATGAAATTTTTGACATGTTGAAATTTCTAAAGCAATGCCATTAAGACATGGAATGGTCACAGATTTGAAAACAAAACTATTTTTGGGACTACAACTTTGCAATACTAATACTTCCATGATAAATTCAAACAATTAAAATTTGCTTATGACCAAAGGGCTTCATCTTTACCCTTAACCAAGATCAAAGAAAAAAAAATTGATATTTTAGAGGATGAAGTTCCTTCTATACATTAAAAAGAACCAATTTTTAAATGTTCCTTAATAAAGATGGAGGAAAGGTGTAGGACAGCTAAATTTTATTTTTGTTTCTTTTCAATACAAGAATTGAACAATTCACTCTATACAATTTTTTATATAGATAAAAAAAAAACACCATGGTAACATCAAGCTGAGTTTATTTGGGTCTTTAAGACAGCATGTACAGTGTATGATATCAAAGTCAAAGGTATGTACAAAAAAAAATTATACTAGCCACCACATACAACTCAACTGGGGACAAAGCAGAGAGTGCTATTGACGTCAGGTGCATGTTGCAGTTACCACAATTACTATATACACAACAGAAAGGGGTCAATATCCACAGCATTCATGGTGACATGAATGTGAGATCTATTTATCTACAACATATTTGGCACAAACATATGACTTTAAAGAGAATACCTCAAAGGGTTTTCACAACATCACAGTGTGATTAACAATTAGGACACTAGCAGTCTTAAACAGGCTCTATAACAAACAATGCTTAACCTTTAAAATAGGATCACTTTTGTTTAACATCGATTTTTGGCCAAATATCATTATTTATAAAACAATAACTAAAAAATGACCATTTATTTCAAAATAATCTTTCACATTAACTGCAACCTTCAATTGTGTACATTGATTATCCTTTCATTAATCAAAGGTATAGTAAGCAATGTGGGGCATGTGATCTAACTTAATTACTTTCAATAATTCTATAAGAACTACCTATTTCAAGATAAAATTACTTAACAGCACTACTAGAAAAAGATGTTAGTGAAGGCTTTTAATCTTAAAACTAAAAGCATAATACTAATCATGCAAAATACAAAGAGCTGCTGTACCACATGTAAATGATATGTTCTAGACAACAACCTGGGGATTAAGTACGGGGATTCTCTCACAATACAAGCTTTGACTATGAAGCAAAAAAACATAGCAAACCAGGAGAGAGAGAGAAAGATAAAAAATATTTCAGTCGGAATGTCAATAATACTACAGAGAATAAAATAAGACTTTACCTAACATAAAGGAAATATACTGAAGCCGTCAAATGCATGGATGATCCCAGATGCTTGCTTACTTAACGAGATTAAGGTTTCAGAAAAGATCTGAGTTACAAAACCTTAAGGACCTTGCAGAATTATCCCAAAGTAAATGTTACACACAACCTCAGGTCATACACAGAAATTCTACTGAAAGCTAATCCATATCAATGGACAGTTTATATACCCAGAATGACCTTGACATCTGAGAAATGACCTTGAGTAGAACTGTGGAAAGTAAAATTGTTGATTTAAGGATATATGACCTTTAGCAGATAAACTGCTATTACAATTTATTGTAAACAGAAATAATATCCCTAATTATCTGCCATAAGAATTGTTAAGAAAAATAATCAGGAATTAGCATTTTGCTTATCCTAGGAAGAAATTACAGCTTTAGCAAAATACAAGAAGTGCTAAGAAATGGCAATTCTTCATCTTTTTACACTCATAATTAAATGCATAATTTTGGGGGAAAAGATAGCATCAAAAGAAATCCGTGAAGAAACCTGATGTGAGAGAAGGTCTACTTTTCATGATTACTGCTGTTTTGTCTTAGAAGATCCAAACGTAACATCAATATTCAGTGCTTGTATGTTTTTAAAGTCAGTTGAAAATGACAGATACAAAATAAATAAACAACAATCATCACAAAGAAACTCCAACAATAAATGTGATCTAACAATGTGAATATATTACTCTATGTGTACATACACACAGCAATTAACACGCATAATTCAAAAACTCTATGTTTGATGCATGAGCTAATGTCTGCTCCATGTAAATTATCAACTTAACGTAAAACCTTTATAGCTATACAGTATGTACAAGAAGTAAATCACAGAGAATGTCTATTAACTTGAAAGTCATCAACTTTAAAACAGATTTAAGTATGTGTAATAATGAAAATTTCATTTCTATACAGTATAATATACATAAACACATTACATAACTACACTGAGTAAAGCAGTTATTTTAGTGTATTTAAATATATTTGTTCTACCTGTTAAATTACTAAAATGTAATTTTGAAAGAACCATGCAGAACCATGATGGGCATGACCTGCCCCAGACCAATTTTTCATACAATTTAATGAATGTATTTTTATACATAATATTGGAATAAAATTACCCAGTATTTCATTTTACCGGTAATCGAAAAAAAATTGAAAGCCTGAAGGTGCCATGTTTAAAATATGATTTGTAAAATGTTAGCCAATCGAAATACATTCATTTGAAAATGTACTGGATAATATTTCTTCAATTCTGCAGAATTTGAACGTGAATTTGTGTTTAATATGTAAATTAAGAAATTGTATGACAAAGTTTGATGCTGTGTTATTAGCTTAATACCAAATAGGGCAGAAGAAGTAAAATTCTTGACAAATGGAATGATATCATTTATCCATCTCTGGGACAGGCATAAGACCTGAAAAGTATTGTGAAATTTACATAGTAGAACTGAAACTTCAGACTTTAAAATTTCAACTCTTTAACAATCATATACCGGTACCAGTAATATGTTCTAACAAGCATTAAAGGAAGGCACTTAGATGTTTAAACAGTCGTTGGTTGTGGGTTTAACTGGCAAATGAAAAATTCTGGAAGACCTTTCTACTGAAATTATCCTCCATTAAATAATTTCTCACAAAACAATTATATGTTGTCTACTCTACATCACTTATCAACAATAAATTCATGAACCAGGAATTTTTACAGTATCTTTCTTTTGCCTGACTACTATTACAAAGCACACATTTATCCGATTTGTTACACTGTGAAGCCCTGTTCTGACTGACAGAGTCAATATTTAGAATTCAGTTATCAATAGGATCTGTTTCCAGTTCAATATAGAACATCAAAAAAGAAATAACAGAACAACAACTCACAAATAATGATCAAGTTCTATTGCACTTATTCTTATCAGCTGGTTTTAATCCAAGTACATTTTTACTAACATTCAAATTTCTAACACATAAAATAGTAGAAGACCACTGTTAGTAAGCATTGGGGTGATATTACAATGGCTGTGTAAGAATAGGGTGAAATGAATGTAGCACATTGAGTGTAATCAAATAAATATACAGCACTTTAAAATCAGTCAGGAATAGGTGCCCTCTTAAAAGTGAACATACAAAAAAAAAATTGCCCTTTTGTATTTGAAAACAAGTTCCACCCAGTTTTATACTCTATCCATGTCTCATAAAATATGCTTGTCCTATCATTATCTACTACTGAAATTCACAAAAAAATAATAATAAATAGAATGTAGAAAAGAGGGTGTGTTTTGTTCTCTGATAAGGAAATGTGCAAAGTGGGGCTACCAGAGTGGGGAATGTATCAAACAAGTTCTCTGAACCATTAATTTTCAAATAATTTTCCTCTCCTATACCACAGACTAAAAAATTTTTGGCAAAACATCAACCCCCCTTCCAAATTACAACTAATAATGTCCAAGATTTTTCAAAAATTATAAACCAATAAAAAGATCTCTAGTTAAGCAAGTCCCATTCTAAATTACTCAAGCGTTTTTTTGAGATGTGTTATGTAAATGATTTAAAGATTCTTTATAACAAATGAATAAATCAGAATGTCTGCAAATTACTTCAGAATCAATTTCAGGTAAATTTGCAGACTTTGAGGAAGATTTTGGTTCTTAATATGGTCCCCATAACAGTGAACAGAAACTGGTAAATCCACGATGCTGGGTGGGGGTGTAGAATTCTGTCAAGGTTTGCTGGATGGAATGCATTTGAACACAGCTATGAATTTTGTGTAAAATGATACATGATAAAAAGAGCTAAGTAACACAGTGACTGCACACCTGCTGCTATAAATAGATTCAATGCAATATGTAAACAATCCGATATATATGTGGACCCAAAACACATAGCAGCTGATTTGCAGTCAATGTTTTACTGAACAAGAAGGAAGGGGACACACTCCTACTACAGCTATATATAGAGAGGTCCAAATCAGTGACTGAATTCAAAAATCCAAGAAAAATACAATTCAATATTAGAAAAAAAACATTAATATATGGCTTTAATCTCAAAAAGAGCACTGCAAAAAGCTTGAAAAGGCAAAACTGCCAAAGATAATAAGCTATAAAAGTCAAAATTCAAATACATGCACACCTTTTCTAACAATTCTGTTGGTCTTTAACATTGTCGAACCTTGTATTTTATACTGTAAAAACTACTCTATAAGATTTCCAGAAGATTCTGATGTGTGTCTCCCTTAAAATTGGTCCAAGCTTGAAAGAGCATTTTATATATTAATCACACCATAAAACTGTTAAATTAAATCAATAACAATTACATACAAAATAATATGGAGAATCCTTAACATATACATGTAGAACTCGACAACCAAGTTCAAACCCAATTCTCAATTGCTCAAATCATCCATTGTTTATTCTATAAACCTCTAATTTGAAGAGCTGGTTAACTTTTCCCAGTTGATCCCTGTCTGTAAGTCTGTTGGTGTTCCAAACTCACATTCCTCAAAACTAAAGAGGTCCAGCACCTCCTGCTGTGTCTTAGGAGTGAGTATGGGGTCCGAAGGGAACTGCACAGGGGCATTAGCACTAAGGGGGGTCAAACCAGTGGAGGGCATGATGACATCCAACCAATCAGAAACATCCATATTCACACTCTCTGTGTCATTTATTCCCAAGGCTGCTAGATCTGGCTCTGAGCCATGCAAATTGTTTTTAGAATTTTCATCGGTTGGCACACTTAGGATGTCTTTTGAGGTTCCCATTTTGTCTTGGTCTGTTTGCATGGTGGAGGTATCAGTGAGGTCTAGTGAAAATGGGGCATCGTCTGCCCAGTCCATTGAGGTTAGGTCCTGGTTCAGCATTTCCTGAATGTCCAGACCTAAGTCTTTGCTGTCAGTTTGTTCATTTAAAACAAATGAAGGTGGAGTATCACACTCCCTTTTTACAGCCACTGAGGGAGTGGCAGTAATTGGTCCATTCAGCAGTGAATACACATCCCTAGTGTCAGCCGCCAAGTTAGCACTGACTGTAGTGGTAGTGGCAGCTGTAGAAGCATTAAAAATGGAGAACTTGAATTTCGAACAAGGCACCTCTTTTTCAGATGTTGCTGTGATGATGGAGGAGGTCTGTGTCTTGGGGGTTGGTGGAGGTTCCTGGGCTGCACTAGGGGGCAGTTCTGAAAAAAAAATTATGTAACATTTTATAGCACCTCAAAACATAAATTCACATCAAAAATTGCACCAAAATTAGGGATGGGTATCGGCAAAAATTTTGTATCGTGATATATCACGATTTTCCCCCAAAAATATCCCGATAAATCGTGATTTTTTTTACACACAATTTTTACTACAAATTTATATGAATTTCCATAACATTTCTTAAAAATATGCTATAAAAACATAACTTTACTTTTTAAATTTTCATTTATTTAATATGAAGCATGTTTTGATGCCATTGTTTAATTGTTTTCAACATTTTTTACACTTCCTGTAATTGCCATTCAATAGTTTGAACAAATAAATGAATAATTTCCGGAATCTATAGTTATGTACCAAATATCGGTATTTTAGTCTCCGTATCACGATACGTATCACGCAATAAAAAATTGCGATATACCGGTATACCGATAAAATCGCACATCCCTAACCAAAATCTTATTCAGTGAGCAACTTCTTGAAAATCCCACCACTGACTCTCCAGTCTTGAAGACACACTCAAAACAAAACTAGGAAATAGCTCATATAAGAATCCTGTTATTTTCCAGAATTTACATTGCCACATCATTTGTGAACAAGTGTGAAAATTGTAAGGTTTTGACACAACTCTTCTTGAGCAATTTACTGTAAACTCCAAATTACATGCATTTGTCTGCCTATCAGCAAAACAAAATTTTACACTAGTGACCAAGTAACCCTGTCCTAATGAATTAGGTTCAGAATTATGACTAAACCCTAATGTTGAGAGCAAATTCAAGTGATGTTTGATTTTCTACTATTGCTGCACAGCAAAAATATACTAGGACAAAAATTTGACACTTGTAATCCATGTAACCTTGAACTACATGAGATCATAAAAAAAAAAAAACAGTGTCAGGTATAAGCAATACTTATCGAGCTGTTGCCTAGAAAAAAAAATTAAGTTTTTCTTCACTATGACATAGTACAAATGACCTTGGGTTTGGAAAAACACACACTCTCAATTCATGAAGAATTTTGTCTATACTATGAATTTCTGATGATTCTTCAATGAAAAGTTATAGGGCATCATGATAAACACTGCCTGACAGTGATTATGTATCCCCCACACCATCAAAAATTATCTGTGGGGAGAGGGATCATAAAATATGCAAACAATATTACCTCCATTCCTTATGAGAATCTCTAGAACATCATCCATAGCCTGACTTTTGACAGAAGTCTTCGGGGCAACATTGTTATCAACCAAAGATAAATTCTGACCCTTGAAACAAACAAGGACATTTTACTTAAATTTTAAACTAAATTCACTCATGACAGCACATAAAATTTACTTTTAGAAATTATTTAAGAGTCATGATATATTTCTGCATCTGGGAGTACCTTATTAGCCAGATTTTTTACTGCATCATCATAATTAGGAGGTTCTTTCCTCATCGGAACAAAGAAGGGGTTAGAGGTTGTCCGCAGAATTTGACTTTTTCCTTCCACAGGGGAAGATGGCAGTGATGTTGTTTTGCTAAAAAAAAAAAAAAATTCAAAAAATTGATTTCAATACATTTTTACGACACCCAAAATTCTGTACAGTAAAACTCGTTTAGTATGAACACGGATATTACGAATTCAAGGATATAGCGAAGTTTTCTTGGATCCCCAGCTATATAAATTTTATGAATTCCTTATACGGATATAACAAATTACGGATAAAGCGAAGTAATTTCACAGATCCCAGTGACTTCATTATAACCAAGTTTTACTATACAAACACAACAAATTCTAAGAGAAAATCTTTTATGAAAATCGTAAGCAGTTTTTACTGTCAGCAGGCTAGTAAAAGACTTGAAGTGGCATGTCTTTTATTTGGGCATGAACATTTCATAAACCATTACTTGTAGTATGCAAAGAATAAATCTGGAGCAGATGTGTAGCATATAAATTAAAACTTTTTTGTGTAATGCATTTTGCCCTGATAAGTTCTTATGTATGAGACTTTGATTTGAAGACTAAATAAACAGCTGGAACAATCCCAAAATATTGGGAGATTTATAAACAGTGCTTCATCAATGAACATGCATATAGCTCTGTCTTAAGTTTTGTTGATAAACTTTAGAGACATTGAAATACATAGGTTAATACAGCCTGACATATCGATGTCTTCCACTGCCAATCCTGTATCATCCTTTCAAGCATAATGTCTTAAATAAATCAAACAAAGGCATACTAATGGACCTAATATTCCCCAACTGGTGCTCTCAAAACATGCTTATGTGAAACTTTTGGTCATAAGGAATTATAATCATCTTAATTATGATTTAATGTCTCTCAATTACAAAATTATGACTCATACACTTCTGCACTCTGTGACCATGACCTTTTCCAAATGACATGGGTCATGATCAAGATACGCCCTCTGGTCATAAAGAACCTTTGTGCAAAGTATGAACTTCTAACAAAAATGTGTTACAAAGTTATGGCCCATACATATAGCAGGATGAATGGACACATAGACAAACAGACATGGTGTTTTCTTAACTTTTTTATGGAGTATAATTATCATCAAGAAGGTCAAAACACAAAAACATTCCCATGATTACAACTCAGGCAACACTTAAATGATTTAATTCATACACATGTTAGATAATTTAAACTGGAAAATACAGTGTCATGTGACTTACCTTGAGCTGATGCCATTAATGGGGGACAGCGTAATGGTCCGCCCAGTGAATGCCTGTTGTACTGATGAGCTACTGGTGCTTGGCTTTGTGGCAATGTTCAAACTCCTGTTCAGTCCATGGCTCACCACAAAATTTTCCAGGTTGTGTTTGGTTGTTTTGTCCACCAAGTTAGGCATTAGGATAGACTGCATCCCCTGAGATACAACAGGTATTGTTAAGGGTAGACCTGAGCTGTCCACCAGAGATATAGTCTGAGGAGCACCTATCTGTACCATCTTTGTGTTTGGTTGCTGTGGTGCTTTGCAGTCTGTCTCTATCTTGATGGCATTTAATGTGTGTTGTTGTCCAGTGGGTGCATGTATGATCTGTACCTGTTGTGGGAGCTGTGGTGGTGAGAGTGGCTGCCCCTGTTGCATTATGGGAGAGGTCTGCTGTAACTGTGGTGGTGATGTGGGCTGTTTGACAAGATGTATCTGTGGTGATGTGGGTTTCTGTATTACTTGTATACTATGAGCTTGGGATGCAGGTTGCTGCACAATCTGGTGTATCTGTCGTGGGGAAGTAGGTTGTTGTGTTGCCTGTGGTGGTGTTGTTGTCTGGCGGGGATTATGCTGCATCTGCTGTTGCAGTTGCTGTTGCTGCATCTGCTGTTGTAAGATCTTCTGAGATTCTTCCAGCTGCTGTTGAAGTTGAGCAATTTTTATTCTCTGTTGCTGCAGGATTTCCTCCTGCACATGTTGTGGTGATGCTTGGGTTGTATTGTCCAATGTAACTGTTGGACTGGTCACATTGGTTGGTTGGGATGAATGAATGGATGCAACTGTTGTTGTAAGTGTAACTGTAGGAGGGACTGATGTAGCTGATGAATTTGCTTGATTTAAATCAATAAAATTCGAAAAATCTAGAGAATTGTCCACATCCATGGCGATGTCTGGGTTGACTGATGGAGGCCGGGAGTTGTCCACAGCCATAGGTATAGAGCCAGTGCTAGCTGAGTGAAGACTGCTCTTCATCTGAGCTGTTAGGACACTAGTGGGAGGAGCGATGTCCATCACCTCTGGTGACAAAGGATTAAAGATCTTATCTTTGATCGTTGGTGATATAGGAGGTGATGTGGATGACATAGCTACCTCATCTGAGGTTGAAAGAATTGCGGGTGATGACGTTGACATGGATAAAGGTTGAACACTCACAACACCACGGACTGGTAACCTCTTCATGTCTGCTAAATTATTTGCAGAGGAACCTGGTGATATTGTAACATCTAAATATGGTTTCAACCTCTCAATCAGCTGAGGTTTAGCACCAGAAACAGTCAAATTTCGCTTTTTAAGTTCAGCCTTCAATTCAGCCACTTTCATGTCCTCCAGATTTACAAGAGGTTTAGTTATATTTCCAGGGGAATTTTTAGTGTTCTGTAGCACAGGCCTTGCTCTCTGGGCAGTTTTCTGTTGTTGTTGCTTTCCTGGAATAATGGACTGCAACTGCACTGGTGGCTGGCCTTGCATGACTTTCTTTGTCTGAACAAGAGGTTTGCTTTGAGCTGGTGAAGACTGAACTGGGAGGGAGCTTTGCAATTGAGTCACAATAGGAGCTGGCTTAGCCACCACAGGGGACTTAATCTGAACAGTTGAATGTCCAGAGGATTGCACTTGAATTCCTGGCTGAGCTTGAAGAGAAATCTGTGGCTGAGTCTGCACCATGGGTTGTCCCTGGAGTTGAGTATGAACCTGAACCTGTGGCTGTGTGTGAAGAACTGTGGTTTGTGCAGGCTTCACTGCCTGTTGAACTATTGTCTGTATTGGAGGGGAAGCCAGTTGAGGCTGTCCCTGCATGGTGGTCTGCGTGTTCACAGTACTGGTTGAAGATGTCACAACAGGTGAAGTCAGCACTGGGACTACCCCTACACTGCTACTTGTTGTCTGCATTTGTATGGTAGTTGGCTGCTCCGCCCCCGTCTGCTGAGTCGACACCACTACTGGTCGTCCAGGTGTTGTTGTAGCATTCTTTGACTGAAATTCTAATTGCCACTGTAGAAACAACTGCTGCTGTTGTAGCATGATGTGGTAGGGAGTCTCAGAAGAGGAGCTACTGGACTGAGGAGGAACAGGCTGAGTTTTCACAACATTCGGAGGTCCTTTGTACTCATGAAATTTAATCACTTTTGTTTTTGGTTGAGCTTTCGGTTTTGGTTTCTTAGGTCTATTCTTATTAGCATTAGAAGAATTGTGTCCATTGCCCAATTTAGTTGTTGTTCCATTCAAAATGGCCACTCCATTAGAATTCACAGGGGCAGTACTTGTAACACTGAATGATTGAGTTGTAATGGGTGACAATTTGGCAAATGAAGTCAAAGCATTAGCTCCTGTTACTCCTGTCACATTAGTCAGTGTTACCCCAGAAGTGAATGTACTGGGGAGGGTTCCCAACTGTTGGAACTTCAGGGCAGCTGGTAGCTCAGGGGCTGGGGGTATGATGGGGGGACTACAGATATCGGACATACTGGAATCACATGGGGAGGGGACACCATCACTGGTTGTTGTGCTTTCATCCTCAAATCCCAGATTTGACTCTGAGTCCTCATCAAATGTTCTGTTGAATTTTATTGATCCAGCTGAAATGAAGAAAAAAAAAGTTTTATGATAATCCATAATAAATAGGTCACATTTAAGCTGATGGTCGGGCAACCAAATTTTTCTCATATCATTGGCTAAAAAACATGATTGGCTGACACTAGTATCGGGCAACGCAGAGCAGAACATCAATGACTTTGAAAGTTTAAATATTTAAAAGTCAACCAACCAACATCCGATCATGGAGTGCTGAGCCACAGTTTGATTTTCACTGTCAGCCGACATTTACGAAAACTGAATATCTAAATGTCGACCAACCGACAACCGAGTTAACAAACTGTCTGCTGATGGTCTGATAATGATTGAGTGTTGGTCAATGGACTATTCAATGACTGCATCAATTGAAGAAACTGGTCACAACACAGAAAAAATTATAATTGGGCCAGATGGACGCAATTGATCGGCTGACGAAAAAAGAGGCCAAAATCAGGCAAGACAATGGCCGATGAGCTGCCAACTTTTGCCCAAAGAATCCCATTTTTGTCTCAAAAAGCATTGGTCATTTTTGGAAATGTGACTGGGACTTAACTAGGTGCATCAAAGTATCCCATATCAGCTTTATAATGACATCAACATACATGTTTCTAGAAAGAAAAGATTTACAAGTATACATTAAAAGTTTCAAGCAGAACTCTAGCCTACATACCCTGAAGAGCTGTCCTGAAAGTTTCATTGTCTGTCTGTAGAATGTTGCCCTCTACTAGCTCCAGTGGGCCTGGTCTGTGAGAGAGTTTGTCATTCAGATCATCAGCGATTCGAGCTCTCTTCAGCTTACGTTGTCGCTCGTGTAGGGAGGGATCAATTTTGGTGTCTGAAATCAGCACAGGTTTTGCTAACAATTATAATTCATCTTATTTCAAGAATTTAGGTAATTTCTATTTTGATCAAGATGGAAAATATTGTTGTCCTCTAATGAAGCAAAATGCCTATCTTCTTCATTATGAAATCAAAATAATAAAATTACAAAAAAAAATTTCAAAATTTTTATGTTTTTGGAAACAGTGAGGATAGGCTAAAACATCTTATTATATAGTGTTATATGATGCTTTGCCAAAAGTCTAAATTGAATGTTCTGCTTTTGAAAACTGAAATAGCCATAAAGGGCTCGACATTAACACTTGTCCAGTTGGACAAGTGCATTTTTATGTAAATAAGTCTCTAAATATTCAAAAGAACAACTGTTGAAAGTTTACAGGTACTTTAAGACGGAAACAGTACATAAAAACCGAACTTCGATCACGATATAGATTGCTATGTAATTGAGTACACTTGATCGGGATCGAAGTTCACTAATTGCATACTACTGGAAAGGCATGGAACTGATGAAGTTTGGATTCTGTTTTATGTTGACAGCATTTATGTTGTCAGGACAGAAAGTCTAGATAAAATTTTGTTTTATGTGTTTGTTGTATTTATAAATAACATCACGCACATGTAATGGACTTTATTTTTAGTTTTTCAGTTAACAGTATTAGATCTTTATTGAAAATTTTTCGGACAAGTGAAGTGGAAGTTCGGATAAGTAAATGTCTTGGTCACTTGTCCGAATGGACAAGTAGGTAAAAAAGTTAATGTCGAGCCCTGCCATATTACCTTGAATAGATTTACCAATCATTATACATTTTTGAACAAGAATAAAGTGATTGGTGATAACTTCTGATAGGCAATGTCAGACAATGCTGTATCCTTTTTCTTTCATTTTATGGACATAACTTTATAATAGCTCTAAGAGCTATAACACTGATTAGATATGGGGGAACAAATTTTCATTCCCTGAAGTTAATTATCACCATCAAAGACAATTCAAGTTGTTTGTTATTAGTAGACTTAAGTGTCTACAGACCTTCTAGAATGTGCTGCTGTACAAGGACCTGTCGATCAGGGCGGTGCTGGATTTTGTGTCTGAGTAGGTCACCAGTCTAAAATGATACAGAAAAAGATTTACTGCGATGTTAACATAATCCCTGGTGTTTTTACAAGTAATGACTGATTTACAGGGAAAATTTATGTTCTTTTATCTAGATTTCTGCACTGAATGGTCAATAAACACTATCATCCAAAACTTAAAACATTTTTATTGTCTATAATCAGATATTCTTGGAAAGACATTCTAAATGTAGTTCAAATATATATTGGCAAGACATGTGAATCTAGATTGAGATAAAACATATGTAGGTGCACAAATGAGAAAACTGCTTGCAGATGCCATTTCTAATTAAACCGAAGAAACTATTTCAAATAAACCAAAATAATGGAAGTAGGTCAGCCTATTCTTTCAATTGACATACCCCACAAATGTAAGTCAATGAAGTTAAAAAAACAGTTGTGATTATTCTACAGACAAGATGTGAAGTAAGTAGGAAATATTAACTTCACTTTCATCACAGAGTCTCTTAGTGAAGGCATGTGATAGATGATTTAAATTGAAGTTTATGGCACTTATAACTACTGAATGAAAGTCTTCTCAAGTGTTAACAAGTGTTTGTCAGTTAACAAAATTAAACTTCTTCAAATCTGCCAGAATAGTTCAACAAATGGGGAAATGCTCAGTTGCCAGATCATTCTGTCAAAACCAGTTATCATCAAACAACCTGCCATGTTATGATCACTAGTGTCCAATCAAATTCTTGCAAAAAATTGTGGGTAATTTTGTAAAACAAGGGTATATTATACATTTTTTGGAGCATCTGCAAGAAATGCAAATAAAAAACCATGTTTCCATTGTAGATATTTGTGATGTGTAATTACTGTCATGTGGCTAAGTGTTTATTGCACATCATTTTTAATAGTTTAAATAGAGTCTGATTCTGATTGTGAGAGGGTTTGACAGCAGCCTTCTGTACTAGATGCTGTGATTATGGAGTAGAGGAATAGTGTGGGAGGCTTAGACAGAATACACATCTTTTTTCTGTTGTCTTGCTAGATAATGTATCTGGGCACGTGCCAACATTCCGCACAACATTGCTGTTATGACTCAAGGACTCTGCAAATAATCCCATTACCTAGCAAGAGACCTGGGCATAACATTTTCTGGAAAATTACTTGCTAGGACCTGTTAGATTATGAGATATTTAAAAGAATTTAGAGAGCTGGAAGAATTTGTATGATGTAATGCAGCATGTGGCTGATGGGTATATGGCAGACATTGATGTTTATTCCTCTGCAGAAGAAAGGTTTATCACAATGCTTCATCACTGGGGTGAAAATAAGGTGGAGAGGAAATGCCCTGTTCTCTCTAGCTAACAGGTCAATAACCTCCACCAAAAATATCAGCTGAGTTTGCAAATTATCAAAATTTAAGTGAAAACATAGCATGAATCTCCCCTATAGCATTTTAAATGCACTAAAAGTTCAGCTTCTCAAATGGTCTGATGTATATATTTGTTCCAATGTCAATAATATTGTGTTTTATATGTATGTATCCCACTTTCTTTACTATTCGCTTTATGTTGCAGTAAGTTTTAAGGAAACCAAGAATACTACTACGTTTTATGATGCTTATCTACATTCTGTGTAGCAGAATCTGTAAAGAGACAAAGAATAAGGGTACAGAGTAGGAACACAAGGCTAATGGGCAACAATGTTCACATGAGTAGGAACACAACAATGCTCGCATGAGTAGGGACACAATGCTCACATGAGTAGGGACACAACAATGCTCACATGAGTAGGGATACAACAATGCTCACATGAGTAGGAACACAACAATGCTCACATGAGTAGGAACACAACAATGCTCACATGAGTAGGAACACAACAATGATCACATGAGTAGGAACACAACAATGCTCGCATGAGTAGGGACACAACAATGCTCACATGAATAGGGACACAACAATGCTCACATGAATAGGGACACAACAATGCTCACATGAATAGGTACACAGCAATGCTCACAAGAATAGGGACTCAACAATGTTCACATGAGTAGGGACATAAGGATGCTCACATGAGTATGAACACCAGGCTAACGGGCAACAAAGCTCACATGAGTCAAGTTTTTCTTCACTTTCAGGGCCATGAATTCAGCAACCTAGGAAAGCTTGTATTTTACTTGTCGTCCATCGAATTAAGTGTAAAACTGACCTTGTGTTATGGCTTAACCAAGCCTTAGAGGCAATGATTTGTCCAAGTTCAATCTACCTATGAAGATGCTTGCAAATTAAACTGTGTACCAGTAATTATGGCTCCACTGGTTTTGATATTATTTTATATTCATATGTAAAATTCAGCAAAATACTGTGTATAAATTCTGGTCCCAACAGATAATGATTTAAATACATGACATGAGGCTTGACTATTAATCTTACAATTTGTGGTCTTGTTCTTTTCTAGTCTGCAAGATTTTGTTCATTATATTCCTATGTAAAACTTTTCCCTACAATATGGTCACCCTCACCCCCACAGGCTTTAATCTGTCCACAAAACATGAGGATTCTTGCATATTAGTCAATTTAGCCTACTGGTTAAGAAAAGTTGAAAATAAGACCAGTATATTTCATAATTTACATTATTTGTGACTTATTTTTTTCTGAGAGGCATTTTTAGTCTCTGTTGTCAAAATTTTTATATGGAGATATATTGTGTTTACTTGGTATTCATCTATAAACATACCTTGCAAAAGTGAAAAACTGAATATTGCATTCTTTCTACGAAGTGTAAATATTTACAAGGTTAATGCAACAGTGAACGATACTTTGGGCAAAGAGAGTTTTCCGTAACATAAACTAAGCAAACATGTAATTAGCACAAACTGACCTAATATCTATAGACTTGTAAGTTTTTAAGTTAACCTACATCTATAAACCTATCCATATATCACAGTTTTCTGGGAATATGCATGCAGTGAGTTACTCCAAATATTGGCAAAAAGATGATAAAATGATTATTAAATATAGAAACCAAATGATTGATTTTGACTTTCCTATTAGAAACCATTTAAGACCTGCCTTGAAAAAAATCCTTTCCACAATGTCATGAATATTATCAACATAAATATATATATATATATATATATATATATATATATATATATATATATATATATATATATATATATATATATATTAAGTATTGTTATTCCTGCAATTTTTTGACATCTGTTTTTTGGGAGCAATACATTCTGGTGATGACTAAGAAGAGTACAAAAGGGCAAATGATAAAAATGTCATACTTCTCCCATGGGACAAACACCCTGCTAACAGTGTGTAGTGTAGCTAGCTTGTACAACAAAATTTCTTACAGAAATAGCAAAATTTACAATTCTTAATGTTAACTACCAAGTCTTAATTAAAAACATCCAAAATAGTTTGCGGTGAATAATGTAATTGGGATGTCAGCCAATCCAGAAGGCATCTAAGCCACATCATTCTGAGATCCATTTGAAATTTTACAAGGTACAGACGGTGCAAATTATATAAGGAACAAAAAAACTTACAAATAACTCCAAGAAAACAAACTTGTGAATTACAAATAAGAGAGCACTGACCTTTGCTCTTTCTAAATGTCTTCTCTGTTCAGCAAATGCAGCTGGTGTACTCAATGCTGGGGAAAAAAAAACTTCCTAATTAATAATCAAAACACAAAAGTTCAAAGAAATATTCCTAAGCAATTGTTCAGCTTAAAATGTACTTCATTTTAACATCTGTAAAATTTAAGGGCAATGACATTTTGTAGATTCATACTTACGAGGATAAATTCCTTGGTCTACCAGTTCATTCACAGATCGCCTCATCATTAGTTTCCGTTTAAGTGCTAAAAAGTATCAGACATTTTTTTTTAAACTTAATTTTAATGGAACAAATCTTCATTCATTGCTTAGAATTCTCTAAGACACAATCAAACTTTATGAACTCTTAAGTAATTAATTTCTTTGTAATTGAAGATCTTTCCTATTCATCTTGTGAATATTTTTTGGGCTTACACTTTTATTTTAGCAGCCTCATCAACACAGATTGTATTTAATTTTTTTTTCAAGATCACATAACTATTTTCGTTACTTTTCAGTATTTTTTTCCCCCACATTTATAGTTCAAGCCATCTTTGATCTCCACTCCACTTAATTACTAAAACTTAATATATTTTTTTTTTAATTTCCCCCCAAAAATCAATGGTGACCTACAGAATCCCTGAGTACTTACATTCTTTGTTTTTGTCCATGCTTTGTTGTAGGGACATCTCCTCCAGAGTGGACTGGGGGCTGGTGGGGGACATCTGTTCTGGCTCCCCTTTAACCTGCCCCTCACCCCCTAGGGCTGCCTTTTCTTTTTCTGCTTTCTCCGCTTCCATTCTGCAATCTTTGCAATAGAACTTGTGTATGTACTGGATGGCCTCTTGGTCTAGTGAAGTCCCTCCCCCATAAAGGGGGGACCAACTGCCACTGCTACTTGTGTCTGTCAACAAAACAAAAATCAAACCTTAGCATAGGTTGAATTACTAAAATATAACTGAACCGGATGTCAAAATGAACTTTACGATATCATAACTTATTTAGCACAATTAATCAGACATTGCTGTAAGGAAAAAATCAACTAAGGAAATTACTGTTATTTTGGTTTTTATTTTTTATTTTGGTGAATGAATCATGGACATTAATATCTCAACATTTTCATCTGAAACTTCCTCATTTTGTATTCACATAATGATATTAACAATTAGATTTTACTGTACAATTATACAGAAGATATCTTCTTTGAAAGTAACCAAAAAGTTCACTGAAAGAACAAAAAATTGCAAAATAAATTGTCCAAATTTATCCAAGTACTGTGTAGAATTCAATGGTCAATAGAGCCAGGAGACAACAACAAGAGTACTACATTACCCCAGTCCATGAACTCCATTCTAGTTAAGAACCTACCCTGTTAATACGATCATATTTATTGAGAGAAGTGATAATGACTGATTCATCATTCCAAGATAAAACTCGGCCGCAGCAACCTATAGTCCATCAGAATCATACATTGGATTTCAATTGCTAATAACCTTTAACTTTTTTCCTTGTTAAGTAGTTTGCCAATGAAATGTGTAGGCAGTTTCACTATGATTTTTCTTCATTATGACATGACATCTTGAAATGAAAAAAATTGAACAATTCATGTTTATTAACAAGAAAATCATGAGGGTTATTATGATATTTACAAGCTATCAAAACTGTATAATGTCACCCTTTGGTCTTAAAATGTACCTAAAACAACCCAACATTAACAAAAGTTTTTTCTTTCAATTAAAGGTTAATCCAACTATACAGAACGTAAATCCTATATGATAATTATCTGTCATTCCAGAACAGACAAAAATCCAAAGGATCTATCTCTTTTAGTGCAATACATTAAAACTGTTAGGAATTCAGCAGCAAATGTCTATATATGTAAAAACTGTGAAAGAACAAAAACCCAAAAATAATTGAAAGATGAGATCTGCAGCATACATGAAAGGGACACCCTATGTAGAAGATCAAACTTCACATGCATTTCTTAAATACTTTAATAGACAGGTAATTCAATACAACTCTTTGAGAGATATCAACTTAATAATGATAAATAGCAAAAAGAGAAAGTAGGAAAAGTTAGACTTGATTTTATGCATTTGAGGTGAAACACATTATCAACATTCCTGTTAAAAACTTCCACCAGTTAACCCAATTTTAAACATTTCACATGTGGTGCATAAACATGATAAACATGCAATCATTTCTGTACTTCATTCACATATCTGTGAACTCAGCAGATATTGGCATCTGCTCAGAGCCACATCACTACTAGGCCACCTTTGCAGTATTCAGCATCAATCACACCCCAACCTCATGGCCACCCTCAATGTATTGGGGGGAACTCTAGGACCAGCTGACCATCAGATCTTCTCCTGGCAGAGTATAGCTGACATTAATTTCTGTTGTGCAACATTGGGAGCCTTCTGAACATGCAGCATTCCTATGGAGTTGGTTATCAATCCATCAGAAGAAATAGATTCTGCCAACATAAAGAATCTCGGTGCCAACTCTCAACAATTAATGCATGTGGACAAAGGCATCAGTGGCCAGGGTTGCTGTACTTAGCTGCACCTCCTGACAGACTATGAGCCCACTGGGCTACCTAAGATCTGAGTAATCATTGTTTACACACTCTACATCAATAGAAAATCCTGGTTAATCATGCTATCATACATAACTCAGCAATAAAAACAATGCTGGGATTGAATCTTAAAAAAAATATACAATATTTCTTTGTAATGTCATATGGAAATCATTCTTACTTCATGATGGAATTATTATTTTCCAAAGTCAATAAAATGAAATTGACTTCAAATTATCAATTACTTCAAGAGTAAGCATTTCGAAGTATTAAAATAGACTAAATTTTGTAACAAGAAACACTACTGTTTCTTGAAATTGTAAACTGATGCAGAGAAATTTACATGGACCAATCTAGAACAGATGTACAAGATTTCAAAACAAACAGAAAATTCATGTTTTTTGCCATTCCAATTTTTGTTGATATGTCAAAATTAATATGTAGTGCTTGATCATAGTACCCTATAGTACTGTGAAGTTTAACATAAAAATACTTTTTTCCTTCAGATCATTTCTAGCTAGCAAGTAAATAATTGTTAATTTTATGTAAGTTTCTGCATGCTCATAAAGTCATAAACATATCAAACACATCTGAAAGGGTTAAGACATTCAACTTTCTTGTTGTCTGTACATAAAAAATAGCCCAATCAGAGTATGATATCCCTTTCAAGACAAATCCCCAACCTGTATTATTATATGAAATGACCTTGATAACAGAGGTCAAGGTCATGGCATTCTAAATGGATTTAACTTGTATCATTTAACCAACTAAAAGCAGGACATGAAGCATTTAAAGAACTATAGTGCCCCCTGACAGCTATTTTTAGTATGAATGTCATGGTCAGAACGTCACTTATCTATGTGAAAAGTGAAAAGGTATGACAAATACAAACTCATCTTTAAAGTTTGTAACAATCACAATTCTTATCAAAATTAGCACACTATAGCATCTAATGGCCATTGGATGCTTATACTGGTCAACTATTAAGAAAGAAAATTTATAGTCGAATCTTTGTTGGTAAAGGCTAGCAAGTAGATATGCAGAGAGTAATTCAATCATTGTGATGAATTTGTCTCTCAAATGACCTTGGTAACTGTGTAAGAGGGATATTAAATAAATGAGCCATTTTTAAAGTTTAAGGTTTAAATTTAACAATGGATATAAATTAAGTGTACAAATTTGATACTAAATTTAACTGCAAGTGTATTTTAGGAAACTGATAAGCTGATTAACTGTAATAAATTCTTTAATTGGGAGTTATTTATAAACCCCCCAGATCTTTTTCAAAAGCCGTAGAGAAGCTGAGGAGATTTTATCTGGTTAGGATCTTGTTCACTGCCAACAGAGCCTTGATAAAGCACCTGTAATGCTTTTACTCCTTCCCATTAACAAGTATTGCAGGAATCTGATGCAGTTGACATTAAATCCACATATATTCAATGCTTATGTGGATTTTGTTTAGAACCTGATACAAGTACCAGGTAGGAAGAAATCTACATTATCTGAAAAAAAATGAAACATGCTCACAGTCTGACATCACTGGTACATTAACATTTGACAAAAAAAGATTTTTTTGTGGTTGTTAAGATGTCTGGAGATCATGAAATCTCTATTGAGCCCACACATAACAAAATGACTTAGATGTTATAGTGTCTTGGAATGTGGACGACATAATACTTGTCTGCAAACAAAAGTACAACTGCATTGCAGTGAACAAACAACTCCAAAGACTAACAAGTCTGACCTTGAGAAATCTCAAACAAGGCACACATCTTGTCATTGTACATTAGCTCGTTTTTTCCTTGAATTATATAAAGAAATAATATAAAAGCATGTAATGTTGACTGAAACTGTCATTAAATGAGCATACTCTGGCATGGAAAAGAAGTACTTTTACAATTCAATCCCCATGTATATCCTAGGCAACCTTGAAAATAATGCAAATGTTTCCTCGGTCTATTGTACCTTTAAGTGTTTTTTCCTTCAAGTATTAAAACAGACAAATAATCCCATGTTAATGAGCCCTCTGAACTGAAGCAGTTATCTATTAAAATCATACTTAATCACTGTTTTCAATTTGTATACATGAAAACACTTCATAGAAAAAAACAAAATTTACAACAAACCCCATAGAGAGGAGCCAGTTACCTGTTGGTGATTAAGTAAAAAAGACCTTTATGTAAACAACGGCCTTTCATGATATCTGACTCACTGCTAAACTTTGTAAAGAGTTAAATCTAATTAATATCGGTAATGAGTATTCTAATGTTAAGTAATGCTGTGCGTTCCTAGATGATAAATACATAGACAACATAACGCAGTGATGAGCAGGATAAACAAGTGGAAAATAAATATCTTAGCTATTTCTCTCTTGTACTCCCCCACCAGATGTTCTCCTGGTACAGATAACTAGGCCTTACATATTGCTTGGTTTATAAGTACATTTATCTAAGATGGCAAACAAAAGAGGCATTTTCTCCAAGAACCCTTGATGTAAACCTGCTGTAGGGATATCAGTCAAAGGAGGAGTGAGGGGGTGTTGGCATCTCAATTTTTTAACAACTGTTTTTCATAATCACTTTTTTATATTTTTTTTAACACAACTTCAGTTTTTTTCCCCCTTATCAATAACTATGCAAATGCCTGTTCTTTGACTGTTTTTCAATAAGGGTACAGCAAACTGTTGCACTTTTTACCCCAAATTATATAGATCTGCTGTCAAGAACTTTATTGTTCAGAGAATCAAACTGAGCCTTTCCATCTTGGCATTCTCAAACTTTATGTTTGTAAGAAACCAAATATTTAACCTGTGCCAGTTGGCGAACTGTAAAAACAATATTCTAATAACTGCTGATAAAACTCTCATTCATAAGCCTGCAACCTGTAGGTCAAACACTCCATATCGCCTCCAAATGTCCACTCCAACTCAGATGTATTCTGCAGACACAACTCGACAGAACTCATTCATCAAATCATAAAAACATGCCAGGCATTTGGGTGTTCAATTCTGTGTTCAAAGTTAGCAATAATTCCAGTGAGCATGTTTCTGCACAAATTGAACATTGTGAAACCAACGTCTGTTGCCAATCTGACAAAAACAAGAAATCAGTTTTCTTCCTAACTGCATTGGAATGTCCTTCTTAATATGTCCTTGTTCCCTTTTAGCCAACAATCTTAAAAATCCAACATACATTTAATTTGATTTTAAAAATAACCTTGAAACAATTTAAAATTTGAGTTACAATGTATTACTACTTAGAACTGTTGTCAGTGAAATCAACATCTGAAGTCTGTTTTTGGTCCTGATTTACAATTGATAATCAGTTATTGCAATGGACTTTTTTCCATTTATCAGGCTCACATCACCAGTTAGTTATCTAAATAGTACAGCATCAGGTAACCAAGTAACTCCCTTGTCTAGTAATGTCACCTGGTTTTATTGACCACTGCCAGCAATACATGTAAGTGATAAGTCTGGATGTACCATACACAGAGAACTGTAAGTTTTACCTGCAGGTCAGGTAACTCCATGTACTTACCCCAATTCTTCTTTATTCTCTTTGGCCCATGTGATAATTCTAAAATGAGAAGTAAGAATGTGAAATTATACATTATGCAGGTGTGATTTAGTACATATTGAATTCAGAGATATACAATGTACAAAGTAAGCATTTCAAAACATACTTTCTACCAGTTGTAACATTTTACAAGGAAAATCAAACAGACAAGCCCATCCTGGGAATGGGATGGATGTTTATGTTTATATGAGAAATTCATGTTTCTTGAATATTTAATATATGTAAAAGATTAATATCTTATAAACAAAAACTGTCCCTATCTTTCTGTTGCAGTAGATTTGATGTTAAACATAAGATTTGGAGGTGCCACTAACTCTGTGGGTGTCTGCTTCTCAGACAGAGACCCTATCATTTAACCAATTCGTAAACAGATTCTTCTCTCAAATTAAACTAGTCTTCACACTTCTTTGTTTTTAATTATTCAGTCAAAATAGATGTATCTTATCCAGTGTAAATGAGCCTTTGTGTGAGAATGTAAATTAGTTGTTCTGACCCCCTGTGGCATGCTCTCTGTACTCTAAGAATATCTACTTCAAACATTTTTAAGTCTACATGTGATAAGAGAGTTCAAAGGATGACTCCAAGAGGACCCCACAGACACTAAGGTGGGGGAGGGGGGAGGGTCACAAAAGTACAGCTGACAGAAACCAATGTTTAAAGACATCAATCACTCTAGACAACAGCAAGAACAACTTCAAATGTAAATATCGTATATCTTCCGTTGTTTTCAAATGAAATAATTAACTGCAAATTTATAAAAGTAACCACAACAGAGAATGACTGAAGCAAAATTTCAAAATAAAGAATGAATCTGCTTGATTTTTCTTTATTTCCCACTAAAAGGAAATCAAATTAGAATTATAGCTCCTTCATGGAAATTTAAATCTGAAATATTTAAACAATTAAGGAACTGGCAGGACTGTATGTTAATTTCTGTTTCAGTCAACAAGTGAATTCTTTACGAAGTACCTCTGTATCATTTCCGATCACTCGCCGAGGCTAGTTGACCAGTAGTGCCTACTTCCTGTTGTTGGGGGACAAATTTCAGATACTATATGTTATCAGATTTAACATAACAATGGCTAATCCCAGCTCACAGTTAACTTAATACAGACTGGATTCAAATCTTTGTATTCCCACAAGTGAATGGTCTACACTTCTATTGTGTATCCTACAGCATTATGTAATAAAGCTTAACCATACTTAAAATTGCCTATATACATACAATAAACACTTGTTGTACACATTTAAACCACTCAAGGAAAAAGAAAACTAACATTCAAGACATAATTGTTATAAGATCTATCAGACTATCACACATTTCTTCCTCAATTCTTAAAATGTAGGTCAATGAAAAATCATAAAATATTCTTTTAAAGTATATAAACAACTGGATAAAAGTGAAGTTTAAGGATATATCAAGTGATACTAATGTTGTTTCTTTATTCCTGCAATGTCATGCACACTGCAAATTCAGAAAATATCCCCTAGTTCAATAAACCTAGAGGGTGTGGGTAGAAAGTGTATTAATAACTTTAAAAAAAAAAAAAATATTGGTCAAAATTCACACATTTTCATCTACTTGGTACACTTAAGAACATATGTTTAAGTCACAGGGTGATCTATGGCCAGACGGGGTGTTAATTGGTTATGACACTACGCACCCATCCTCAAACTAAGGCCAGATCACCCCTTGCTGTGAAAGTGACTGATCCATAGAGCAGTTTTTAAACATCTCTTCATCACATAAATGATGAAAACAACTGAAGATCTTACGAACAGTTGTTTTACAGTTATTAGAATTAGTCTACTTCCTACAATTCATTGCCAATTAGATGGGGGCCCCAGGCTCTCTTTGTAGTGGGGGTTTTATTGACTCCTCTCTTGTAAGGATCATTATGTCTACTTTCTTTTTATCCCATAATCTCATTACCCCAGAGAAGACTGGTAAATATGTTTCTAGATAAGTAATATTACTTACTGTGTAGAAGTCCCTACCTAGATGTAATCAATGTGAATTCAGGTCATGGTTGTTTATACACAAAATTTTCTAAATTTTTTTTTGTCATCTGCATATGATGAATTATTTCTTTTTAAGACATTATCATAGACTTCAGAACATTATATGAAACAGATTAATCAACACTGAATATCATTTGGATTATTTTTGTGGACTCTCTATCATCTTGCTGGAATTTCATTTTATCTCTAAAGAGGAAAATCATCAGAAATGATTGCCCCACTCCTATAAACAGCTGTAAGATTAAAGCCTTACCCACAGAGGAAGAGTTCTGTACCAAACATGCCATGTCCCCTGTAGTCACTCTTAATGTTCACTCTGGTTGTCAGCTGTTTACGGATCAGCTGATACTATCAACACAGACAGAGCATCATAGCAAGTAGATGCAAACTGCTAGAGTCTGGTTCCAGCTTCACAATTACACAAAGTACATTCCTCTATCTCAAGAGTGCAGGGAAAACCTCACACAAAAATAATAATACATTAAACTTTCTTATCTAACAATGCTTCACCACTGCCATTACTTTATACTGTCAGTTCAGCTTCTTTCTATCAATCAGCACAGATTCCAGTCAATGTTAGCCAGAGGTCTGTCCTGATTATGATTCACCAGACACGCCCCTCCCATGCCACACCTGTTTTGTCACTTCTGAGGAGGGGGACCCTCTGCTGCATGTACCCTCTCTCTCCGGCTGAACAGTACCGGCAGTAAAAAACTTCCTACTTTACATCAGAGAGCAGACTTCATTATCCGGCCTGACTCACTACCACTCAAGAGGGGGGAAAGACAAGATAGAATCAGGGAATCCTCATCTCCTGCTCTTATCCTCTACTGAAACACCCCTACTGTTATAATGGTATGGAATATGGCACTCATTACACAGATGTCAGTGTTCAAACTCATGCAACTTATGCACCATTACCCACTAGTATACAGAAGAATCCCACATACAAAATTAAATTAACTTTGATTAAGTAATTCTGGAAGATCATAAACCATATTTATGATGCATTTAATTGATTATAATTATTTATCAACATGATCTAAAAGGATGTTTTCTTAATGTAGTACAGAATGTTTGTGTTGCAAGGTCTAGATATAATAAAAACAGGATATATGGTCTTCTATTTACACAAAATGATGTTACTTGTGTAGTTACTTGTATAGTATACAAATTTCAGCCTCCTAAAATTCACCTGTTTCTATATCTAAGTACATCTCCACCCTCACTGAATGCTGAAAACATAGATTTGATCTGTGCAATCAGCATAGTGTCAGACATTTTAATGTATAGTCCTATCTGTAAGATTTTAAATGAGCCACCCCTTTTCAAGGTTTGCAACAAGTTGATCAAAAAATTTTCTAAAACCCATTGAAATATTTAGATATATGATAAAACCTTTTTTTTAGAAGACAAAATGAATATTTGCAACATCAGGGGGTATACACAATCTGTTATATAATATGCTAATTCTTGAAGCATTCAAGGACAAATTCTTTGAAAAGGCACTTGAAAAAATTAACATTATGTTCAATGAAAGCAAATTCAGATACTTAATGAAAAAAAAATATTTGAAATACTGACAAAATAGTTTGCATGGTGACGAAACCAGAAAAGAAAAGTATGAAGAAATTTAATGCAGGTTTTTCTGTGTCTGAATAAGAAAAAACCAACATTAAAATCTTTCTTTACTCTGATCGAGGTATTGTAACAAGAGGCCCAAGGGCCTTAACGGTCACCTGAGTATGATAAAACAATTTCAAGGATGCATAGAGTATAAAATGAACTGAAAGGTGAAGCTTTGTTGCCCAAAAGCAAGAAAAATAGGGTGATCATGATCAACAAAATAATTGGTCTTAATATTCATTAACAGTTCATAAATTAGATTCTAATCTGTTCCCCATTTATCACTATCACTATACAGTATATTAACAAATTATCAATGCTTCTGTACTATTTTAATCCCTTGTTGAAATCTCTTACATTGGCATCTCTTGGTCTTTGATGAATATTTAATAAGACAAGTTATTTTTGTCTCATTTTTATTTATCTACTACTTACAAGTCTATCTGATCATTAAAACTATGAAAGTACTTTTTGTATTATACAATAAAAGTTTTTGCAAAATTCTCAATTCTTATTCTATTTACCTTTCAAGTACATTATTTACAGTGATAAATTATCAAAAGTATATGGTAAAGGGGAATAACTCCTCTCAGTAGAATACAAACAAATAGAGCCCTGGCCAGGACCAGAACACTTGACCAAATGGTCCAGATGTTCAAAAATCTGGTAAAAATTCCCTTCCTTATAAAAACTTTTACTCTGTTTGCCTCAGATATGCCCAGGTGCGGAGAAGATTTTTAAATAAATAATGCATTTTTACTACAGATTCACTACATTATCAATAGAGCCCCCCCCCCAACCCCCCACCCCCAAAACACCAGAGCTTCTGACCCTGGGACCATATGTTTGCTCATCATCACTTTGTTTATCTGCTTAACACTAAGGAGCAAACAGGATTATTTAATAGAATTAATGCATTTTCACTAAATTATCAAGAGCCCCACCCTCACACCAGCACATCTGACCCAGGGGTCATGAAATTCACTCCTCTGGAAGAAGCACACTTGCTCATCATAACTATACACTTAGCTTCTTTGCTTTTTTAACCAGAAGAAGAAAAGAATATTTTCAAAGAAATTTTGCTTTTTCACTTTATAATCAATAGAAGCCCCCCCCCCCCTTCACCAGAACCCTTAAACCTGGGGTCATAAAATCCACAATTTTGGGAAGAGGCATCCTTGTGTATCATAACAATGTATTTTAGCCTGTTTAAGCAATACCCAGGGGCAGAGAAGATTTTCAAAGAAATAATTCACCTTCACTATAGGATCTATATAGCCCCGCCCTAGCACCAGAACTCCTGTCCCCAGGGCCATGAATTTCACAATTTTGGAAGAGGCATCCTTGCTTATCATAACAATGTACTTAGTTTGTTTAAATAATACCCAGGTGCAGAGAAAAAGATTTTTAAAGAATTAAAACATTTTCACTTTATAATCAATAGAGCCCCGCCCTAACACCAGAACCCCTGATCCAGGGGCCACGAATTTCACAATTTTGAAAGAGGCATCCTTGATTATCATAACTATGTATTTAATATGTTTCAATAATACCCAGGAGTAGAGAAGAAGATTTTCAAAGGATTAATGCATTTTCACTAAATAATCAATAGAGCCCCACCCTAACACCAGAACCCCTGACCCAGGGGCCATAAAATTCACAATTTTGAAAGAGGCACTCTTGCTCATCATAACTATGTACTTAGTTACTGAATTTAATACCCAGGAGCAGAGAAGAAGATTTTCAAAGGATTAATGCATTTTCACTATATAATCAATAGAGCCCCGCCCTAACACCAGAACCCCTGACCCAGGGGCCATGAATTTCACAATTTTGGAAGAGGCACTCTTGCTCATCATAACTATGTACTTAGTTAGTTTATTTAATACCCAGGAGCAGAGAAGAAGATTTTCAATGAATTAATGCATTTTCACTATATAATCAATAGAGCCCCACCCTAACACCAGAACCCCTGACCCTGGGGTCATGAATTTCACAATTTTGAAAGAGGCACTCTTACTCATTATAACTATATACTTAGTTAGTTTATTTAATACCCAGGAGCAGAGAAGAAGATTTTCAATGAATTAATGCATTTTCACTATATAATCAATAGAGCCCCACCTTAACACCAGAACCCCTGCCCCTGGGGCCATGAATTTCACAATTTTGGTAGAGGTACTCTTACTCATCATTACGATATACTTAGTTAGTTTATTTAATACCCAGGAGCAGAGAAGAAGATTTTCAAAGAAATAATGCACTTTCACTATATGATCTATATAGCCCCGCCCTAGCACCAGAATCCCTGACCCTGGGGCCATGAATTTCACAATTTTGGTAGAGGACTCAATGCTTATCACAATGATGCCAACAGTTTGACTGCTTGATGTCCAGGAGTAAAGAAGAAGATTTTTAAAGATTGCATTAATTTTGGTGGTTTTAGCCCCACCCCTCAGGCCCCAGGGGGGCAGGGACCATGAAATTCACAATTTTTGTTCCCCTTCATCCATAGATGCTATATACCAAATTTAGTTGAAATTGGTTGAGCGGTTTCAGAGAAGAAGCTAAAAATGTTCAAATGTTAACGCACATCGCACGACGCACGTCGCACGACGCACGCCGACGGACAAAAACGGATAGCAATAGGTCACCTGAGTGACTCAGGTGACCTAAAAATTATAGATATCATAGAAATCAAGAACAATGAAACAATTCAAACATTAATTAATCATACAAGACCCACATGTCGTGTCATTAAACTGAAGGTTACATGTAGAGACTTAGTGCTTAATACAAGTATTTCTATCTGCATTGTGAGAGTATGTTGCAAGATTCATAAAGCTAGTAAAAATAAATTTAATTCAATTAAGTACTGATATATATACAGTTGAACTTTGGTATCTTGAACACGGATATCTCGAATACCTTGGATATGTCACAGTGATTGGGATGTCCTAACCATGTATTTAACCCTCATTATCTTGAACCCTCGGATATCTCGAAGTTTTTTTCTCAGTCTCATCAAGTTCGAGATAACAAGGTTTGACTGTGCGTATATATATATAGAGAGAGAGATTAATATAGGGCATATTTACTACCGATATTCAGTATTTTTCCCCAAGAGAAATTCCCTTGAATATCCCATTTTCCCCTTTTGATGAGTAAAACATTCCCCTTACAATAATAATTACTCAAATAATTTTTTTCCTTCATAAAATATATAGTGGTGGTAAAAATTTTCATCAGATGTGAAAATATGATTTTACTTTGCTATTTTATGCACTCTAAAATGGTTAAAAAAAAAATGCTGAAATTCAATTGGGCCCCCCAGCAGGGCTCGCCCTGCACCCAGTGGGGGTCTGGAGTGGCTTCCAGACCCCCAGTTTATTTTCCCAATTTCTCCAGAAAGGGTAGTTTCCCCAAAACCTAGATTAATTGCTGATAGGACCTTTTCCTTAGTTTCTCCGATTTATGTAATTTCCACAGAGTTTTCATTGTATTACAATTCCACCTATACATAACAGGTGATTATAGATACACAGGTACTTTTATATGACATTTAAATAAACTTTATTTACAGTTAGAATGCTGTTGTATAATCATTTGGAATGGTATAAATTGAGTTTGATGTGAGAATCTGAGGAAGCTGGTTGTTAGCAGTCTGTCCTGGTAGATAGCCAGAACTGACACCAGGGAGACAAGTGTGTATAGTGGTGGTACGTGTCAGAGTCTCACTGCACAAACACATCACAATGTCACAACTACTTATACTTAAACCCAAGGGAGGTCACTCTAATCTATTACATGGCTCTAGTGCAGGTACAAACTCAAATTTGTGTTTGCATAGAAGTTCTTTAAAATAAGCATTGATGAATATGCAATTATCAGGTGTCAGTTAAAATGCAATTACATGTACCTGGAATTCATGAACTTATGAAAATCGCAAAAAGAATAAACAAACCAACAAACAAAAAATCTCTACCAAAGTGAAACCAATGATTTAAAATGAAAAACAAAAGTCTGAATTTTTCTCTCCTGTTCCATCAACATTCAAACTTCCTGATCCAAGTTGTCTAGATTATTCTATTCTCGGCAAGTTGAGTCTCAAGTCTTTTCTTTTAGATACTGAACAGTTCTAACTCACGTCTAGAGAGGCATCAATCCTTGCATGCTTTTCTCCTTTAGCCAAAAATAATTTTTTCACATATTTTTGGAAATG